CCTTGGGACAATGATGTAGATATTGGTTTCTGTGGCGATTGTTCAAGATTCGATTCATTTGGAACGATTGAAAATTTCCTCACGCCATTCAAGGAAGCTGGATTAATAGTCACAAATAAATGGACTCAAAGTGGAACTATCGTGTTTTCACGTCCGAACCAAACGCTGACTGTTGACCTATTTGCCTTTTACGAACACAATGGCTGGAAAAAGCGAAGAGGTCTTGAATCTTGGCTGTTTTTCGTTAATTACAATTATCATCACACTTTCCCTTCATGGGTTGTCAAKCCTCCGCTTCCACAAACTAAATTTGGACATTTTAGCATTTCAGTTCCTAAAGGTGAATTCGAAATACTGAAACATCTTTACAAAGACAATTGGTGGAAAGAAATGCGACCCAGAGGCTGTTGAGTAAACATTGACAAAAGGATGCGTTCTACCATGCTCAAAAAAACAATGCGAARATATACCGACATTTAAAGCGATTATCCCATGTTCGAAATGCTAGAGGAATTGGCTAAAAATGCAAAAATTCCACAAAGGCAAGAATAGGGCGACGATCTCTCGCTTCGGTTGTAAATCACTTATGCTATAACTAGACGTCGTTATCGGATTTGATCGGCGATTATGTTACTGATTTGAAAGGATTCCTTTGCTGGCCATTCAAAGATTGGTGAAATGATTGTAAAAGTATTTTTATTGCGACAAATTGAGCTGAAACGTTTCCCAATGTTTTTTAGCGATGGCGCTGTTTACTCACGTGATAAAAGCTATCAAATATCTTTCTTGAGCRTGTCATTGTTCTTTAGCCATCTGCTTGAGTCTTTATTGCCTAAGTCAAGGATGGCAAAAAACTGGAGTATCTGTAACTGTATGCAAAAAWTCAGTGAAAAACCTTTCATGAATAGAGTGGTTTTCATCGTACTGTGAAACAATTACTAGTTGTATTCCAATAAAAATATGGGTGTAGAGAGAGCGTAGGAACTATTTTACAGTCCGATGARAAATCAACTTGCCAAAACACAAATTACAAGGTGCAATTTTAGCGATTACTGTAAAGTAGACTTAACGTCAAAGAAATTTCAACCCATATATCCATATGGTWTCATGATTATGCGCTGTCAAATTTGTTCAAATTTATTCTGTTTGAGATATTTAATTGCGTGACAATATACATATTTTTAAACTCGTGACCTCGCAGAAAGAGATTCAAAATGAATATTTTACTAACAAAAACCAACATATTTTATACATTTAATCAGGAAGTCTATGAAAGCAAYCGATTGTGATTATTATTTTTTGTAATTTTTTTTCAATAAAATGTGTTGTATTGTCAACCGGTATCCATTGGTTATAATCTTTTATTTATTTGTTCAGTTTTGTTTTACTTTTTCATTTGTAAAATGAGATCGTAAAACCMAGAAACGGAAATGGAAACGGATTACGAATGGATTTTGAAGCTACCTCATTGTTCAGTAGCGTGCGTGGTTTGTAAACGATGATGAAACTCAGGCTACTTCATTTTTCATATGAGAAACTTCTAAAACATGGTATCAGCTGACGGGGGGAATAAAAAATAAAGATCTGTGCTCAGTGTTCCCTCTTTACGTGTTAAAATCTATGTAAAATCCAGGCTTTGGAGTAGATAAAATCCCGGAAAAAATATTAACGCGCAAGACTTCTTTCCATGAGACAAATGCGCAATAAGAATAACTCAGTGCTGGCCTGGAGAATATCTAATATCCTGGAAATTTTATTTAATTCTGCCGGACCAAATCTACGACACTCTTGGAATAACACAGAAAGTGTGTGCTCATAAGTTGTTAAAATACTGTCGATGCTATACGATCCCAATCTAATCTCGCTTTTTATTTATTAAATGACAAAGAAAGAAGTTGATAACTAATAGCGATAAAACAAGTTAAACCGCTATTAAATGAGCCATCTCTTGAAACGAGTGTTACGAAGTGTCGTGTCGCGGATTCAAGCTGATCGACTTGTTGATCAGAAATCACCATTTCAATGAATCCTTTCCTGCTTGCAGAATGCAAAATGCGTGAGACTCTGCCGGCAAGAAACATGAATCATGTTCATCACGTATCTCAAAAAATTGAATACGCGATTACCTGAAGGCTGACGGGAAACAGGGTGGCTTTGAATGAATTGTAAGTGATTAGTAATCAACCAGTCAGGGATTTGCAGATTTGTTTGTCGCAATCAAACAATATACACTAAACCCACAATAGAGACGTGAAAATTAATTAAAAATAAGCTCAAAGCCGAAATTAATTTCCATGGAGAGCTTTGCAGAGCGAAAACCACGTACTACTCCCACAATGCCATGCAGCCCACCAATAGCGTGACGTCATCGTGTTCCCGTCAAACAAAATGGCGGTCGCAGTGTCCATGTTTCGGTGGTTGGATCTCTTAGAAAAAGAGTTTGATAAGGCWTTTGTGGACCTGGATTTGCTACTGGGAGAGGTAGACCCCGACCAGAGTGAAATAACCTATGATGGACGCCAAAAAATGACACAGTTATCTTCAGCATTCGCTCAACTTGTTCATAAAGCTCAAACGATATTTCAATCTAATGCAAAATTGGAGGTAATTTAGCTTTAGTTTTATTTATTTTTACTCTTCTTTATACGATTGCTCTTTTTTGTTAACATATTCTTTTTTATAACAAAGAAGTGGATCTTTAYATCACTTGATATTAAATTGTTTCGATAAATTTTAAAATTATTACAATAAGCTTATAAGCTTTCAGTGTGTGAATGGGAGAAATATTAAAGTAATTAAAATTCGTAAAAAACTTTAAGATCTGCGTGGCAGTTTTAACTTAATCTGTTTACTTATTTATTATATTTGAAAGCATTTCTCGGTGGCTGTAGCGTTGTTTAGCTACAGTTTTGCCATATCATATCATTGGTGAAAATCCTTACATAAAAGCTAATGAAATGTTTTTGGATTTGTTTAATTGAAAACCTGCAGAAAACAAGTTTATTTGTTCAGTGAAAAAGTTTCTACATAAAAGATGTATTACTTTACGTGGTGTTTTTTGTTTTGGTGGTGGTGTTTTTTGTTTGTTTAATTGAAAACCTGCAGAAAACAAGTTTATTTGTTCAGTGAAAAAGTTTCTACATAAAAGATGTATTACTTTAGAATTGTCATGATAAGTACAGGGTATATAGTTAATTTAAAAATGCTGTAAGGCTAACTACACTAGCAACTGCCAGACTTTCATTTTACTGGGGGTCGTTGTACCACAAAATGATTAATGTTTCATCTTTTTTCTGCTATTKAAAATTTGCATATGACAGTGATCACTTGTAAACTGCATTTAAGGTGAAATCCGATATTTTCATTGGCAGAGCAATATGTTCATTTTATATTTACAACCATACTCTTTCCAGTCATTATAGAGTTATRGAAATAATATATATGAATCCTTGRAATCACTTAAGACTAAAAGCTTTTWGTGAATACAAKTCAACAGAAACCACATCTAGCTTATTTGTCCATGACAGTTTTTAAGAACAAGCTACTTTTATATATTTTTTAGGCTGAGCTTGTAGCTCTTCGACACGATGTGGTAGAGGAACAAGCCACTCGAAAAGTAATGGAAAAGGAGGTTAATAATCTGTTATTACAGCTACACGCAGTTCAGTTACAGCTGCATACAACTACTGGCACTCATGCTGATTCTGAAACAATTAAAAGTAGATTAGTAAGTAAGAAAATATAATTTTGTACTTCATTGAACTTCAGGTATAACTATATTAGTCTGCGTGCAGTCAGTTTTTAATATTAAACTWATAAATTGGAGATACACAGACTAAACTACATGCATTTTGTTTTTATTTTAGGAGGGGGAAATTGCAAAATACAAACAGGATGCTTCTAAGGAATCTAAACTAGAATGCCAAATCAAACAACTTGAAAAAGAAAATAACACTCTTAGAAAACACATCTTTTCCTTGCAAGGAGAGGTTTATGGTGCAAGACTAGCTGCTAAGTATCTAGATAAGGAGCTTGCAGGAAGGTATGTCTATATTCATTCAAATACAGCTGTTTGCAATAATTCTGACCCCCCTACACTAATATTCATATATATCANTCATCCAAGTGCATCCGCATATACGCAAATACTCTTTTCAATGTTGCCATGAATTGCTTTCATCTTTGAATATTTTTGCAAAATTTTGTTTTAAAAATCTCTCCAAAGTTAATTCAAAGCAATCAATTATTCATGTTAGTCTAGTAGATGAATAAACACTTTGTCAATTCTTGAAGCCTGTCACAACAAAATCGAAATACACATTATTTTTGGATTCATTTTTTTCTGTTTGTCTAATTTTCACTTCCTTTTTCTTATTCAGTGCTTTTTCAAAAGCAATAAATACATTAGAAAATAGTTTTTATAGTAATTCTTAATTCTTTTGAATGTCTAATCAAATGTATTTATTGCTGAATTTTTCCCCACAGAAAAGATGTCTTAATTCCATCCTGTATATCTTGTGAAAGTATTATCAAAGGCAATATGATTCAAGCAGTGAGTTGATTACATGATATATCTCTGTCCTGTCAGGGGTGGCCTGGGGGTAATTTGTGACGGCAACCCGCACATACAAAATCTAGAATAATTATAATCTATAAAGATCAATTTCAATGAGCACTATTGATTAATATTGAACAATGCCTTGATAAGGAAGTATGAACCAGCTATATATCATATCTCTGTAATCTAAACCAGAGAGCTTCCTGCATCCCAAAGCACTCTCCATATTCTTGTAGAATTTCCCTCAGATGGCTGATCCAGATTATTATCTCAAGATAATCTGAGACATCTGCCCTTTTGCCTTTTTATTGATCACACTTTTATATTATACTTTTGTACAGCACCGAAGCTATGATCAGGCAAGCGAGCCACTTGCCTCGGTAAAATTTTATAGAGTCTTCTTTATTCGTATCCAAAATAAAAAAGTTCAATCAATGGTGTAAGGTAAAAAAATCACAATATGCTTGGCAAAACACTGGAAATCATGTTTCCAAGTGTCTGAATTTCAAAGTGACTGAAATGTTTCAGGGAAGCATGCCCGCGAACCCCCTAGATACGACTCATGCTTCCCCTGGTCGCGTAGAGTGCCTCGGTTAACATTTTCCTCTGGCTAGGGTGCTGTTGTCATGATATAGCTGGCCTGCCATTTCTCTGTATTTTCATGCCAATCATGGTGCACATTTAATCTCGAATATTTTTGCTATCATATCTAGATGATGTGGGTTAGTAGTGGTGGAACCCAGTCAGTCCTCCACAACGACTACGCAGAAAACATTAACTGTGTATTCAGAGGAACRAAAACATTTTTTATAGCAGACAGAAAGTACATGGATATTGTAAGTATATCATAAGAATGATTAAAATTCAATAGAAATTGTTTTCTTTTTATTGACTGCTGCTAGATATTACCTTGGGTTCCCTGTGGAACTTTGACACAGGAAACCCTCAAAAATAAACAAGGAAAGCTTAGTMCTCATTTAGTATTGAGATTATCCCAATATTGATTGTAAAGGTATACATTTATATTATCTAAATATTAGTAAGACAGTATTGCTGTTACTGACTGCAGCCCTGAAGGTGTTCATWATTGCACAAAATGCATTGCTAAAATTGGTTCTGGATTTTAAACTGATTTGTTATGTATTTTTGTCCAATTTCAGCTGAATGTTACTGATCTGGGTTATTCTGATGTGGATGTTGATCGGTAAACCAACTAATTACTAGTTACTTAATCTTAAAATGAGTATTGACGGCCGTACACTACTGTCGAAAGTCAAAAAAGTTTTGACAAGCTTTTGCCCGATRCCTTGTTAAACATTTACAATGAATGCTTATCATTGAATGAACATATTTTTTTTTCCTTTGCAGTGTCGATTTGCACAAGTATCCAGGACTATATGATATAGAGCACTACAAAGTCACAGTTGAAGCTGGGGACTGTCTATATGTCCCATTTCTGTGGTAAGGAGAACTTTTTTCTTCAGTAATCAGTTCTTACCTAGTGTGTGTGTATTTTATGTTGTTGTTGTTGTTGTATTTTTTGTTGTTGTGGTGTTTGTAWTCTTTGTTGTTGTTTGAGGTCCATTATTTCAAGTTATTTTTCAAGTYCCATCCCACTTTTATTTTTCCCATTTCCCAGTTCCATTTTCTAATGAATTGTTCACTTTTCATYCAATCCCATTCTATCATAGTTAAACATAGAGTAACTCCAAAACATTAAAACAGGATATCCTTTTCTTTCATTTCATTTCATTTTTCTTTTATTTCCTTTCCTATTTCTATCCTTTTTTTTTCATTTTCTCATTTGGTCCCATAATAGGGTACATCAAGTAACTTCACAAGATCAAAACATGGCCGTAAACTTCTGGTGGAAGGACCATGTGACTGTCAACTTCGATACCTGTGACATCTCTRGCAAGACTACTGTTGATCACATTAACTTCGTTGGATTTGATAGTCTTAGCGATGCACAGTACAAAATGATCAGGTTGGTAAGGGGGGAGGGGTGGGGTGGTGTTAAATTACGTCTCATCATCCTTTGCGGTCAAACATTATAAGTCACATTGATCTATAACACATTGATCTATAACTTGTGTTATGAAACTTTGTATTCAATATTTCATCGAATKTTACAATGAAACCACCGGAGGARGGGTAGGAGAGGTACTCCGTCGTATTTATGGATGAAAGTCGAAAAATTATAAAAAYTGCCCCTAAAAGATACCTGGTTGAGATTGGTGTGGTGTGCAGTGGAAGCTATATTATCATGATAATGATAAATTTTATGTTTTTGTTTTTGCAGAGGACGTTTTCGTCACAGGATTAGAAATAAAGGACCAATGGCATTTGAAGAGTTACTTGAAGTTATTCTTAACGTAAGTAGAGTATTGTAGGTTAGTAACGAGGTATGTGGGATCATGGATCAGTTAAATGGGATCAGGGATCACACTTTGCCATTTTAGCTCAGGCTTTCTAAGGTTAGAGTTGTGTAGAAAGATATTATTATTTGCTATCGTATAGATTATTGATGTCGTTATATTTAATACAGGTTGTTGATGATATTCATGAGGATCACGCAGACGTTGACGAAAATACCAAAGAAATTGTAAAAAAGGTGTTAATATTTTCCAATTATGTTATCAATTTATATGCTCGTTTATTCAGTTTTTGTTTGTTTTATTTATCTATTCATTCCTTATTTCTTCCATTTATATGCAGATATTTATGTTAGTGGATGCGTTTCCTACCGACGGGGTGATAACGTTAGATGATGTCGACCATCTATCCACAGACGTGAGTTGATATGAAAAATGAATGTTCTATGATTGTTGTATTGTTTTTCATTTCTTTATGTGGCTCTATTTGCCTGCATTACGTGATGTAAAGAGAGATTTTCATTAACCCAGGAATCAAATTGAATTGTGATGTGAAACCAAACAAAAAACAAAAAACAAAGAAAAACATGAAAAATGAAGAATATTTTTAAATGAAAAAAGTGTAGTACGCTAAAGGCTGTTTCTCACGGTTTTTTGAAACGTGAAACCAAACAAAACAAAAAAAAAAAACAAAGAAAAACATGCAAAATGAAGAATATTTTTAAATGAAATAAAAAACCTGTGAAATACAATTTAGGGTGCTACGCCTATAAAACTCTTTCTCTGACGACATAAAATGACTTTATTGTACTTAATACAGTCAACTCTCTCGTAAGCGACCACCTCGGGATCAGGAAAAAGTGGTCGTTTACGAGAGATGGTCGCTTACGAGAGAGTTTTTTTACGGAGTTGATATGTGAAACAATTATATAACGGGAAATTTAAAGGGTGGTCGCTTGCGGGAGATGGTCGGTTAGGAAAGTGGTCGTTCAAAGAGAGGTAACTGTATTCACTTTATTTTTCGTTGAATTATTGTGAAACAGGATCTGAAGACAATCAGTCAGTACTTGACAAGCATTATGGGCGCAGTGAAAACCACAGAAAATGAAGTTCCAGGAGGGGAAGGACGTGGAGACAAACATCCAGACGTAGCAGGTCAGAAAGGYGCTGATGAGATACAAACGAACGAGGAAAAGGAATGGGAAAAGATGGTTGAAAATCGAAGGAAAAAAATGGAATTATGAACAAGTAAAGTGTATAATTAGATTGAARTGATATATATAATATTCATATAATCTGTGAATAGTCATAAAGCTTTCACGTGTTTAAAGTTGTAAATTGTAAAATAACACTTATAAGTGACATTTTCCCCTTAAGTTTAAACTTTTAGAAAAGTCATGCATCGCTTGTACAAATAACTTAAGTGAGAGGAATAGAAGGATTGCTTGATATAAAGTATTGTCTTACAGCAAAAATTATTCGTTATTAATTAATAGTATGTGTATATATGCATTAAATCTGATTATTGATTATTATTATTAATAAATAAATATATTAAACTGAAATGTTTTGAAGGTTTTTGAATTGGTCGCCATCTTGTCACGGGAGGCACTTTTGAGATTTAAGCAATCAATTTTGGAAAACAATAGTTTCTAAACCTTTTTGTTTATAAAACCCCATTGATTGTTTACAAAAATCAAGTTTAACCGATTGTTATTAAAGTTTTCAAGGATAATTCCAACAGACAAAGTTTTTTTAACAAGAGTAGATGACAAAAGTTTCGGCCTACTCACTTCAAGAAACACTCTTTAAATATAGTAAATATACCACCGACTCTACATTTCACTAACTGTAGTTGCTTTTCTAATTACAAACGGTTCTCTGAGTGTCAAAAGAATAGTCTATAATCCCTACAAACAACAAAACTGTCAACAGAAAAGATTAGAATTATTTTTATTGCATGCTTGAATCTTTTCGACCGTGAATGGCGTTGTTACTGACAACAAGAAGCTTAAACTTTAGCGAGGTAGTCACTTGGTTTCCTTACAAGATGGAGTACGATATCGAAGCTGTGCTTGGCTCAAGAAGAGTAGTTGTACAAAATGGCGGCATGRAAAGTCGAGGAGTTACAGCAGGAACTGGACTACCAGATATTTCTCCAACTCGTGGTTTTATACGAGGCAATAAAATAGTGACAATTGACAGCAGAGTAAACAATCGCAAACGCGGCAAAAAAGGCCAAAAAGATTTCGATGAGCTTCAGAAATCCTTAAACGAAGAAAAAGCSAAGAACAGTGAGCTTGAGAACCAAAACATGAGACTAAGAACTTTGATTCTAGAGAGTCAAAATGAGTATAATTCTCTGAAAGAACAGTATGATGAGCTWTACGCAAGATATGCGATGTTAGAACATCTGGAAAAGTGGGGTGACATTATCAGACTGAAGGACAACGAGATCAAGAAGCAACGAGAACAGATTCAGAAAATCCTGACGGACCGAGTTGAAGCTCTCAATGAGAAACACACTGCAGAGAACACATTGCATTCTCTGAAATCAAAAATYAGGAAAAAGAACCGYGAAATTGTGGCGATAAAAGCGGCAGAGCAGATCAGTAAAAAGGCGGTTTTACTCAGCGAAACTGAAACACTTCGAAATGAGCGCGACGTCGCACTTGGGAAAGTTGCGCACCGTGATGTAGTCATCGAACACCTAAAACTTGAATTAAAACAGGCAAAAGAGGAAATAATTCAGAAGTCTGTGAGTTTGCAAGATACCACGCGAAGACAATCCATCAGAGAGAAGCAGAGTCAAGTTGTGGCACGTTTTAAAATGGCTGCCATACACGCCGCACAATCGACTAACAATGATTCTAAACAAGTTTAGTATTTCTAGAAGGCTACAAACATTATTTATACATAGAGATGAAAATCCTTTTTATTTATTGTTTYCGTAAGGTCTTTTTCAAAACGYTCAATCTCSAGTATGCACAAATGTCKATCGCTCTTTTTTTGTTTACTGCTGCCATTTGATTCGTTTTGACTTCATAACGTGTAAGATTCGACGTTTCAGACGAACCTATATACTGATTTATTTAGTCATTTCACTTGCTTTATGTATTAAARTTAATCAGCTTTTAATTCACACTAGTGAGATTCGGCGATTCACACGRACTCGTATCGATTTAGTCATTTCACTTTCAAATGTATTAAAATCAATCGATAATCAATCGGTTTATTTATTAATTTATACATTACATTAGCGTATCGATTGAGAATATGCTTAAACTCTCTGTTATATTCGAGCAAGTCCTAAGTTAGACAAGAACTCTTCCTTTTCGCCGTCTTCTACATTAACTTTATTATTCTCTTGTTTTACAACGTTTTCAAGAGATTTATAGTTATTTTCTCCGTTGGTTTGGACTTCTGTGTTTGCTGGTGGACTGGGTCGAATTCTCCGACCGTAAGGCTGATATCGTTCAGAATGCGGCGATTTTCGYTCGGGAGAATGTCGGGGTGAGCTCGGYTGTATCTGGTGCGTTAGATTATCGATTGCCTTGTTAAAAGTTTCTTCAAGTTTATCGTTTTCTTCTTTTCCCATCTTGGAGTTKGAATACTTCGACATACGACCACCGTTCAAACAAGGTGCATCCGGGTATTTATAATCACGTCCCACAGTCTCAGTACTCCGCGGCGTTGGTTGCCCGTCGCGCTCTATGGAAGAGCAGCGGACTGGAAACAATGGAGGGATGTCCCTTTGATGTCTTGAAAAACGAGAGTAAGATTCATGTAGCATGCTTCTAGGCCCGACATACGAAGGGGCTAACCGAGCACGCCGTAAAGGATCCCTCCTGGGTCCATATATGTGAGGGTGGTAATGAGAGTGTCCATATTCTACAGGGTACTCAGACCCACCGTGCCTCGTCATCCCGAAGTGCTCCACAGTGAACTCTGATTCTCGCTCGTATCCTACAGCGTCATATCGTCTCTTTGATGGCACGTGAAAGGCCGAGCCCTCGGCTGTGCTTCGTTCGCCTAGCTTGCGAAGTATGTTATGCCCTTGAGGAGCGATTCGAGAATCGTTTTCCTCGTCGCTTTTGTGTCTACGATGTYGATATTCATCGCGATGTTTGTCGTCTTCGATTCGAATGGCAGTCGGTYTTGGAGGTGATGATTTTCCTTGGTGCGTGACGTCATTTCTGTCATGAAATCGAGGCTGGTCTTCGATTTTGAGGTTGAGTTGCAGATTAAGAACCTTCCTCAGTGCTCCTTCGTATATATCTGCAAGACTAACAACAAAGAAAAAATATGAAACCAATCTGTAAATTGCGCAGGATAAACTTGAAGTAAACTGTCCACAGCATGAGAAATTCCTGGTGGGTAAGCTAGCTTGTATATTTTACTGCATATCACATATAACTTCAGAAAAAACGCAACTCTCAAACCAATATTATCAATGCCGCAAATTGGCAATGGAATTTATATAGACTAGCATTTAATAACTCGTTATGACTATAAGCTTTTAATCTTTTCTTTTGAATGATTCTGATCTTTAGTGAGTGAGTTATCACTGTTTGAAGATGACACAGAATATTTAATTTGAAATATATAACTTTTCTTRCTAAATAATCATGTATAAGCCTGCAAAAATTCATATTTAGGTTCTTCAGAACATTGTCCCATAATTAAATGTCAAATCTTAGCTTGAAAACAAACGTAGTATCTGCAAGAGTGCAATGCACATATGATATTATAATGAAATATTCGTAAGTCAGTATAGTATGGTGGATTTTGTTCCTTTAACAAAATTCTTAAAATCCTTTTTCATTATTATTGCCAACTAACTATACCTAAATCTACAGAATTGCAATTGAGAATTWCCGATCAAAACAAATAAACAAAAACAAAAAATTTCTGAATTGTGCAGACCTTAAAAGAAGTTCCTTTAAAGCTGGATTGTTTCTTGGTCTTTTTACGTTATGGAAAATATTTTCCGTAGTTGAATTTGGCCATAGCCTCTCGGTTTTCTCGAGCTCTGGGAGTGCCTTCATTTTGGAGTGTACTTCGGCTCACTACTCGGTCAAAGTGCCAAAGGAAATTAAGGATAAAAGCTAACTGCATTCAATCTTTAAGTATTTTCACAAACTAGCACCTGCCGGCCAGGTTACATTGAACAATACAAGCTCCCTCTACACTTCTCTCGCGAAAAAACTAAACTTTTTTCATTTAAATTTCAAAWTGTTTMAAGAAATCGATGAGTTTTTGCCATTCCTACTTTTAAAATATTATTTGTTTGTGTTTTGAGGCATTTTTTACATTTGCATGCTATACTTTTGAGGGCTTTGTTGTCAAACACGCGCGCGCGTTTTATGCAAATGAAGGCCAGGAAAATTGGCGGGTTYCTACAGGTGGTTTCCAGATAATTTGCACAAAATTTGAATGAGTTCAGCTACGCCTGGGGTTATAATTGTAATTTGACCTCCTTGATGATGACTCTGACSGAGCGGCTTTTTGTGAWGTTCAAAACAAAAGCCAAATATAAAAGCCCCTGCCTTTGATCTTGATGAGGTAGCATCAATCTTCAATATTTGGGTGTCACTTTCTAAAAACAACTCCAAGCATTCTMATTTCAAATTTGTAGYATGATCCCTTATCAATACATCGTTTTGTCCGAGAAAAGTGGCGGCGTCTTTGAGTGTTCTTCTTCTTTTTTTGATAAATTGAAACGCTTAGAGCCAAGCTAGTATTAAATCAAAYGTTTTCAATAAGCAAACGGCCTGCCGTTCATTATAGTATGGTATCTATTCAGTGCGTAGGATAGAATGCTGCACTAGCTTGTCTAACTGGCCTTTCTGTAAAAAAAGGTTTGTTGRCCTGGTATCTGTCACGTAGCCATCACTGAGGAGTGAAAACAACAGCTGAATTCACAGTCTCCTTTTGCCAATAATTTATTTACACAATTAAAGCGTCCTTCCTTTGAAAGATTTACTGAAACATGTTGCCTTGAATTGCCTGGAAAAACAGAGTTATGTTTTGGAAACTAGTTTATGTTGTGGTGACAGTATCACTAGCTCTAGATCATCAACATTTGCCACTTATAAACCAAAAGCTTAGCGTTCATTATAGTAAGTGTGAAAAAAGGGTAGCYCTATTCACATTAGTAATTGCTATTTTGAATGTTTCTTTAAATCAAGGTGTCAATCATGATCTCTGGTATTATTAGTGTTAAACATCGAACGGAAGACTATACTGTCAAAGATGTTTATTGTCAAAGAACCGACTTTATTTTTTTAGTCTTTTAAAAACTACTTCCTAATGAAAACTATTAAGTTGATTCTATGTGATTAAGGAGTACTTCCTTTAGCCTCAACCTTTCGCGTCCGAATAATTCGAGACTTTCGAGACCATTTTCCCACCGTCTTTATTAAACCTTTTGTGTCGACTTTCCTTTCATAACAGGTAGTTTAAACTCATTGTTTCTAGCTTKTGAAGGCTGGATTATTATCRCCACCATTTTTGAATGAAAGTCAATGATTTTCTTTACTTTTTAACTCCGTAATCCAATCGTCATTTTATTCATTTTCATAGCTGTGTCSTTGCACAGCATTTTCGAGTGAAAACCTTGATTTGTTATCCTAAAAGTAGTCAATAAAGCTCGTAGTCTTTCACAAAATTCTCGCACGTTATTCACCTATCTTACACTATCACTATTAAACTTATGGGCTTCACAGTTTCGACTTTTTATGAAAGCAACCAAATCGTCAGTACCTTTYYAGTTGCTCCGACGAGAAACCAGCGTCAAAAACGTCAAAATTTCCAGCTTTTCACAATGTCTTTTTATTACAACTTTTTCATCAGAAACATCGACGCAAATCRCACAAGTTTTTAATTTAATAATAATTGTATCTCGATATTATGACTTATAATGAAATGAGAAAAGTTGCGTGTGGCGGTTTGAGCACGTAAAAACGTTGAGCGTTTAAAAATGATTCCCATTTTTTCATTGATATTATTGTTCAGTCTATGAACTTGAAAGTGYATCATAGTGAATATAGGCGGCATGCTTAGATCGGTTTGTAAAGAATTGATAAAACCTAGAACGTGAATTAAGCAACATATAGTACTTTTACACCGAGATCTTTTGTTCTYTTTCAATGTGACTTTTTTCAAATTAATAACTTTTTCACAGGTCTATGACATAAAAAACAACTCATGTTGTTGACTTTAGACGAGTTTCGAGTCTTAATCCCTTTAATTCATGCATATATTTTCACTTTTTGCAAGCTAAAGGATTAACTCTAATACCACGTTGTTGGCTCTTTCACTTTGGAMGTTTTTCGGTAYGTTTGTCGTCYATGGCGGACACTCARGGSCTTTTAATTGGGGGSCTAACAGGGACATTGGAAAGTTGYCCCCCCCCCMCYCYTTACCAGTCTCCCGCGGCCACAACTCAAGATTTCCCTGGGTTTTTGATCAGTTAAAATGAGTTTGATGGGAGTGCCAAGTGCAATCGGACGGAAAAGTTTTAAACAATTTGTAGTTTCCGTTCTTCAATGAGAAAGAAAATTTCGAAATTAAAGTTAAAAAGAACGGAAAATGGGTCGTTTCCACTAATGACSTCATGTTTGTTTTAGCGAACTGCATCATGGTATTGATCAAAGAATCAAAATGGCGGATGTYAACTACTATAAAGGGTGGAAATTCCTTTGCAAAATAACGTTATACGATTTAGAAAAAACATTACTGTATATACTAGAGTATATTCAAAGACATGTCTGAGGAATGAATGTCAAAAATGTCTGAGAAATAACGTTTATCATTGACTTTTTTTTCGCAGAAAACAGTCGTCTGAAATAAAGCAAGATGGCTTGAGCTAGTTATCAATCCCATGATGCATCTGACTAAACATCGCGTGCGACTCTATWAGTGATAACAAAATTTGACTTTTGTAGTTGTAGCAATGTGGTACCTATAAGTCTATCAGGCAAAYGATAAGCCTTCTTTTGATCACTATCTGGACTAAGTGCCTGGAAAGCGTCAAATCCATCCCAAAATCATAAATAATCCATTTGAAAAAAGGCTCCACAAAATGACGCTCGAATCCAGCTGTCGTGAACTACAACCTGKGGCGAAATAAGCAAGATACTTTGGGCATGAAAACATACCTCAAGTCAGTTAAAATAACAACCAAACTATAAAGACATTCTTTTTCAGACCACCAMCAACAYAAGTTCCTACTGGAATATAATTCATTCYGGACAAGTTTTGACGTATTATTTGACAATTTTATGAAAACGGCTGAATAAACGACTTAAACTGCTTCACTTTTAAAAATTGTGACCGTTTTAAGCCCGTGCATRCMAATGCTTCTTCGTGTCGAATTTACCTGTTRACTCSCAAAATTCCCTTAGGCATGGAGAATGYTATATGAAACACGCTCCGWAAGGGTATAGCGGTTGAGTTTGGGTCTAATGATCAGGCAATAGAGAGCATGCACCGGTGTTTATATATAATAGGGGGTGTCTTATTTTCCTGTGGAGCACAAAATAACATTTATTCCTAGAAAATAGGAGACCTTTTATTGCCAAAGCTTCTTATAAGAATCGATTGCCTGACTGTTATATTTGAAGTGTATCAACGATCAACACGAAACACGTGCGTTGGGTTTAGAAWACAGTCAATCCTGCACGCAAATATTAYACTTTAATATATTAAATATCCGTGATGGCAAATGGGCATGTTATGCGTAATTYAGCAAAATATCTAGYCCTATTTYAACACCTTTGTGTTGACTAYAATGGAATATGTTCTTGCGATGTGTGCGATTATGTKCAGCGAACAAGTTTCAAAAATACACGCTTGTTTGAGAAGAGTGTGCAAGTTYTACTTAAACCGAAGACCAATAGCCTATTAAATTGGTCGTATTTAGATATAATATCATACCCAATCACTGAAAAAATGGAGGCGGTGATAGAGGTATGGTGACGAGTTGCTATATGGAGCGCGGCGTTTCAATCGTGCCCAAGAATAATATTGCAATAAAATGCACAATTTGCTTCAGTATAAAACACGACTGTGCTTTGATAAGGCATTGTTGCATCAAATTATCACTTAGATGTTTTATCGGAGCAACGGTTGCAGTCATTCATTTGAGATACTTCGAAACTGAGTGACGCGCGTGTCTGGAACTTTTCGCTTTCTGTGCAAACCGGTCATTCCTTTTGCATTTTCTAGAGGCATTTATATTTACTTTTCCTTTACTTTTTTTTTTGTTCTTTATCATTAACAAGAAAATATTCTTCTAAAACAATGATTTTTACTATTATAATGACAATAGCACTATTAAAAACAATAGAATACAAGAAAATAACAAATAAAATGACTCGCGGAAATTTAAAGCGAATGAAAAGTGTTAAATTAAAATTACCAACGATCAAGGCCATATTCCCTTGAGCTAAATTCCCATTATTGAAGCCATTTTTGGAATTATCGCCCCAAATTTGGCAACATAGTAGCAAACAGCGTCATTTTCTTGATATTTAAGTATTGCTCTTAGAACAAAGCTCTCTTGAAAATACAAAAATATATAATCATTTTGTTTATATGTCGATTACTGTTTTTTTTTATAGACAATTTGAAGCGCTTGTACTTTTACGAGAATTTATCTTTTGTTTGCTCTTCGTTAGATTTTATTTTGACTTGTATTTCCTTCCAACTACTAATTAAAGCTATTGTACAAAAATCTTTTTTATAATTACAAATTCACATTGAACGAATAAATAAAACATTGGAAAAGAAAAGCTTTTTTYTGTTTCAGCATTTAATTGTCGCGTGGAAAAAWGCTTTCGAAACAGAACAGTTAAAAACCGAAACACTCTTTTTTCGACGTTTYATGTCAAAAAAATATAACGYTAAAATCAACATCTGCTTYTTTGAGTGAAATTCAAAAGCATTCAAAATGGGCCATTTAAGTCAAAAATGTCGATGTTTTGCTGAGATTAGGTTCGGCAGCAGAGAGCTATTTTGAAGTCACTGAATGAAATTCAATTCGCCAAAAAAAAAAACGATATTTGGAGGCTATCAATCTAAGAACGAGCTCGGTGGGAAACCAAATCAAGCCTAAAGTCCAAGAGACTTAGGAGAATAATGTCATTTTAAACACATCGGAATAAAGTTTAGAAATCTAATTATCCCTGTCTAAATTGAACGTCAATGTTTCCGCAAGAATTGGGAAAATTCACTCCAATATTTCAGTTGATATTCGTTTGTTTCTAGTCGGACGGAGTTTCTTTATGTCATAAATATGCATCACATACAAACACAGCTGCATTTATGTATATACATTAACGAACCTACAAAATCCAAAAACCTGACTTTCTTTTCCAAATATCCTCCTTTTCACAAACACTATACAGTTTTCGGAAATCGTCAAAACAAACAACTGAAGCTCGCRMCGAACGGGAGAGGGTTATGTTCACGTGCCGACTAGCTTAGGCACTACTTGAGTAAATTAATACTGGTTTTTAAAACAAGCCGATCTAATACTTATATGGAGTTCAAAATAATCCAATCTCTTCCCTACATCATGTCAAAATATCCAGCTCAAAGGATGTCATTTTTGATAAATGATGGTTAGAAATACTTTGATAGTCTAATAGGCGCGCGTACAGCTCCTAAATCGAGGCACCATTTTGATTCACGCCAGATGTTCAACCGAGAATTCGTTAGACAGGTCAGCGAGCTCAAACACAGCTTGAATGACACGAAAACTGCTTCTTACCTAAAGTTTTGGGCAGCTTTGGTGGGGGAATTGTTGCTGGAAGAGGGTAAATTTCTTGGTTGGTGAAGCTTAATCATGATGTCAAGTTGCGAGGGCAGGTGCACTGCTAGCAAATGGTAAATTCAAAGCTACAACATAACACAATGAGTATGATAGTCCGCTGAAACAGTGTGGAGGCTCGGTTTGAGAGTCGTAATGACAATGACGGACCTAGAGTGCCATGTAAAACGATCCTACTTTACTCTCATTGGTCGATGTGTTACACCTGCTACATGGAGTTGCTGTTGACGTTTCTGCTGTATGCTCTTTTCGATCACAGGCCAGTCGCCGTGTGTTTATACAAATTATACAATGAACAGCCGGCTTGCTCTCGGTGTATTGTCTTCGATAAAACTAAAATCTTTTAAACCAATGATGTTTTCACTCGCTGTTTTTCATTCTCTCTCCGTGCCATCTTTATCCATTTTTTTAATTCAATTTTTGAAGAAATACATCGTTGCTGTTTTCGCATATTTTATAAAGAAAAACATTATAATATTATTAAATGTTGGCTCGTTTATGTAATTACATGATATTAACATGATATTATCTTGTCCTAGARCTAAAAAGTAACATCATTTGAAAGATTTTATAATAATGATAATATTTAGATTGTTATTTCTTAAAGTTCATTGTTTTCTGATGTAAAAAAATTCATTTACTGTGTATGATTTCCAAATTTACGTTTGATAACGAAATTGCTTAATTTGGACTATCACCTTTTTTGAAGCAATTGAAATTTAGGGTATCCATTTGCAAAAAAAAATTAATGTTGAATGTTCCTAAAATTTTAATCCAAAATTCCCTGCAGATGTTTTCAGGTATATTAAACTGCCATGAAGTGCGAATTAGTGCATGAGCTCAAAAAAAATCAATTATATTTCCGCTAAAAAGTGTATAAATGTTCGGTCAGAAAAAATGGCGCCAAAAACCATCGATGTCTGCTCTGACCTCAATGCAAGATGTTAATCATTTATGCTAATTAAGTAATCCGCCAATCAGCAACAGAGAAAAGAAACCATTCAAGTGCTGCACAATGTCTTTTATTTTCTCATCTTTTTCAGGTTTTTTGTTTGTTTTGTTGGTTGTTTTATTGTTGTAGCTGTTGATTGATGTCTAGTGTCTTTAAATTTTAAAAAATCTGACACAAAACCTGTGTAAAGACGTGTTATGTTCAGCTGTTCTTATGCAATCAAAGTGGTAAAAAAATTATTGGAGTTTTTGGTTAGAGGTAAGCCACCAATTGGAAAAACTGTACAGTAAAAAACAATTAAAATTACATATTTATAACAATAACACTAAACTTTTAATATCATAGAACATTGCAAAATCTCAAAATACGACACCTCCATTTTGTTCAAAATTGAACGGAACTGGACACTTCTCCATAATTCAAGCAAAATCTTGATTTTTTTGACAGCGAACAGCTAAGCAAACATTTCTAAGTTTTAAAATATKCTTACGACTGACCATAGCTTAACAAAGTGTTCATAAATTTGCGTTTTTGATAAACCTTCATTATTTTAAACTCAACATACTGCTGTTAGGGACAAAACATTAGGCGAGAAAAGTGACATATATATGAAAATTTTATTTACCAAACAGCCTTCAATTTAAAATAGACTAGAATATTATGCAATGATACTGTATTGACAATAAACACTATCACTTAGTTGTAAGACTGAAGCAAACCTATAATGGCAATTATAGCAGCTTTATTCCAAATGAAGAAAATGTAACAACACAAGTCAAATGCTTCACTAATATAATCATCAAAGCAATAACAAAAAAGATAATTAAAACCATCAAACGATCCAATATGTGCCAAAAATCTATCAAAACCGAACGTTATTAGCCGAAATATTAGTTTTTGATGTTATTCGAGGTCAAAAATCCTTGAAATTCTATTGGTTCACACATGTCACATGGTACTGCACATGGTTGTCATAACACCCACATGAGAAGTATATCTCAGTCATTTCAGCTTGGAAACGGCCATTGTTTTTGATGAGCAACAGATGTACGATAAGATCAAGCAGCTGCTACGAGCTGAAAGGATGGACCACAGATAGTAAGACTAACTTACAATATACAGTCAAAAACCACTAGAAAAAAAACGAGTTTACAATTGAACCACGCCGGAGAGGGAAAATGATTCTTCGGCAAAACAGAGGAGAATCTTTTTAAGACATGCTGTAAAACGAACCATTTCTATTTAGCGACCGGTCATTAAAATCCATCAACGACCAAGTCGAGGGCCGAACTAGATATTGATGCAATCGCCGATTCATGCCGAATTTTGGCCGARCGYACTCGGCATACAATCGTTTATTTAGATCGGATTTTGTTTGATTTTCGATTCAATCATTTTTTCTTGTTGTGAACTTGACGTCATCACCGCTATTTTGAATAAATTGAAAGTAAGAAAGTATTCCTTATTTAACTTCTATTGTTCACATTGTTTCCATGTTTGGATGAAGAATTCACATTTTTCATTTGTTTTCATTTTCTTTATTTATATATACAGTCATTTGCAAAAATTATATATTAGATATATTAGAAATTAAAGCATATCATCGTCAATAATTTTTGAAGTTGCTCAGCATTAGTACTTTCTGAAAAAATATTGGTGATGACATACCATAATTTCTGATATATTTTATATATACTTGAAATATGAGTAAAAAAGATCATAATTTCTGCATATTGCTGTATTTATATAATTTAGCGGCAAAATTTCTTTCAACTGACATGTAGATTTTACAATCAAATCTACAGGTTGYGGATGCYTTGACCCTGATACCTGTCATAAAATCCCACAACACTTTCAACCTTCTGGACAAATTAMCTCACAAARCAGCCTTTCTTTTAYGCTATCCTCATCACTTTTTCAATTCATCCTTTGTGCAATATTCAAGAAATTACCTTTTGTGGATTATTCAAAAATTATAACTTTGTATGATATTTTATTCAAGAGGCGCAAGCCAAAAACAATCAGTACTTGATTCTCCTACATCACACGATAAATAGATACTTTATTCAATTTTAGGAGAGAACTTTCGCCAAAAACCTTATGAATAAAGTTGTTGCCCTTCCTTTTTCTTTAGTTCCAAGCCCGTGCTTAGATTTTCAGTAAAGCGTCCACATGACAAACTGTTGTCGTGTTATTAAATTAACACAGTACGACTGAAATCCAAATTTCGATTAATTAATAATACCAACTGCCAAGATTCTCTTAGAAATTCATTTAGTGCTTGTATTTTCTTGATATCTACTGACCCGAAAARATATTTCAACTTGATTTTTATAGATTTATAAGTCTTCTCTTTGCTATCTGCAAGGCTTGAAATATAAGATTCGGGATAAGTCCATATCGTATTTATCGAGGAAATGACGCTAGCGTCTATAATTGCTTCTAAAAATAATTCCTTTTGGTATTTTAAAAGACAGTTTTCAACCATAAGAATCGAGTTGGGTTTATTGAGTTAACTAACCTGGTGTAATTTGGTCTACTTGCTTTAGAATTGGACTCCAGTTGTCCRCGCAAATGGTCGAGATTTTTCATCGTTCGACAGCTTCCGGAAGCTTTGCTTGTAAATATATCTGCTATTGTTTCGTCTTTCCTCAATGTTACGAAACTACGATCTTTGCCGTCGAACTGACGATCTGGTAGATCTCTCTGGAAGCTWCTGTTCTTGTGGTARATCTGTAAATCCATTGTGTTATTTTGTGTKTGTAGTGATAGGAAAGCAAAGCATCGCACAACCACTACCAGCTGTCAATGTTCGTCGATCCAGATTTGAAGTCTGTTTTAGACGATAACCTTCAAGATACGCGGATATTTTTGTCRCTAATCCTTGGGAACAGACGTTAATGGTGCGTATTATCCACTCAAAAGGGTGATATTACTGAGCAAACTCGAGAATTCCAAGATTGTTAACTGGTAGTACAGTGTGCACTTATGTTGGAAGTATTTGTCTCAGCAGATGGTAAGAAAACACCACTCCTCCCCGCTATAAAATCTTCAATAATTAATCTTCATGTAYATAAACTATGATCTTCGCTAAAAGCCATTATAAACACTATTACTTCGCCGTCAACAGCTTCGGGAAATGCCGCTGGAACGGCTCAATATGTTATAAACCGATTCGGCTCGCGTCAAAGCCGAAAAATCGCGAATTTATATCAATGATATTCGACCTTCCGGTTTCTCTTGAGCGTGATAAGTTTCAGATGTGGCGATTTCAAATTCTTTATATGACCTCAAGATCTGAACAAGTAAAAATATAACAATGACTTTAAACCATATACATATTTTCCAAACCACAGCTTGTTTTTAACGGTTAAGAGTTGCGACCTGGGTGTTACAACACTGTTATGATTGTGCCGAGTCGACCGGCGATCAAGTAAAGCTTCTAACACCATACATCTAAGGGGTACAAAACCATGTGTTGAAATTTTGATATCGTATTGAGATATCCACAAGCAATACTGATATTACGCTATGTTTATTTGCATATTATTGGCAGGTGACGCAGTTGATTTTTTGTTATTTTTAGAAACCTGTTTTTGGAAGTAGAAGAGGTAAAAACCACAGGAACCCCAAAACGACAGAGTCTTCAAAACTCAATTAATATATTTTTGGTTTACACATGACGTCACTGCGGCCATATTACGTACATCAAACAAAAGATTAACTATTGTTGCAACATGGGTATCGTCGATCTGTTGTGTTTTAGTTTAATTGAATTTTTGTGTATACCAACATGGCTATCGTCGATCTGTTGTGTTTCAGTTCTCATTGAATTTTTAGTCATTGACTCTAAACCATGGCATAGAATCGCCTTTCAAATTCGTTTGGCAGCCATATATGGTAATCTTACCTTATTTAGAAGTGACGTGTACTTAATTTTCCTTTTTTTCATTTTAAAGCTGTAAAATGTCTGAAACTTGCAGACGTTATAGCGAAAAGGTTTTTGAACGAATCGGCCATCTTGTTTGTTTCCATATATGGATTAGTTTTGGTAAAGGAACCCCAAAACAAAAGACACAGGGTTCCCGCACGACTATGTCACTAGACCGAAAAGCATCATGGATGAAACTTTTTTTCGAGATCATAATATAAAGATTTCATGCGATTTGAAACTTCCTTTACAAAATGTGATTAGTCCTGATTAATTTTATTTCATATTTGTAAATTATCATTCTTATCCTTATTATATATATTTTAAAATGCGATTAGATACAGTGAATTAATATTTTCTTTTTTAAAAGTCAACTCAATGGCGCGGTATGTTTCATCCGTTTACGGAACTTAAACTCGCTGTGTSGACCAACGTGCAGTAAACATGTGTAATTGTTCTTACACGGTTTGATACATAAACATCGATGAACTATATGACGATATAAATTTCGTGGGTTAAACGGATAGGATGAAGGCAGAGAAAGAATTCTATTTCAAGACATATTCGACGTCATTTAAAAGATGCCACTCGATACGAATTGTGAAATAATCTCAACAAAGAATTGCTTCTGATCTGTCATCTATTGTAAAGCACGTACTAACTTGAATTTTCCAATGATGATATCATGGCCAACGGCGCTTTTCAATAAATATCACTTATTTATCGTATTCCGCAAACGCTTCACAAAATACAGTTTTTAATGTAAACCTATCAATAGCTCAGGACTGACTTGTTTTCATTTGGAAACGCTGATTTCTTTTTTATATTGTTAACCATTGTTATATCATTTTAAAAATTAAATATATACAATTAAATTGCCGTGATTGGACAATAATTACATATTTTCTTTAACCTGATTGGCTGATCGTACTCTGGTTAAAAATTCTACATTGTTTCTGTGGTTATATTGACAAGAAACAGTAACGAATTTCCCTAGCAACCTAGGCCTTAAAATTCCTTGGCCCTGAAAACGCCTTTTTCAAAACTAAGATACTTCAGTAAACTGGCCAAGAATCAAGAATGTCCTGTAACATTTCTCGTTCAACGACGAAAAAGAACCAAGGTTCGACAAGGATTCCTAGAGAACACATACCGAGGGTGGACTTGAAAATAAGTGAGTTAAAAGCAATTAAGTACAATATMAAAGAAAGGATACGTGTGCAGAAATTTCCTATTAGGAATGCAACTCAGCGTCCAAAGTCTATRAAAGTGAACMAGGAAACTCCTTCAAGAGTAGGGACAACTAGTACCTTWTCAAGAATAGCATCAACTCGACCAAGTAGTTCATCTACGAGGGGAAAAGAGCCTGCTGATCTACAAAATCTAGACAATGTAACAAGACTTTTTAAAAGGAATTTGTCATGTAAAATGAAAGAAACAGCAAACTCTGTTGAAGAAAAAGAATCGTTTCAAGATTATGTCAAAAACTATGCAAATGTCAGAACCTTTGGAAGTCGAGCCAAAGGGGAAAATGTACTCTTAGAACGGAGACGAAAAYTGAAAGAGAGCAAGAGCCAAAATACAAAAATTGCGTTGGACTTTACATCGGAGGTTTTAAGCGAGAGAAGTGAGCCTCACCTACGCTGTTATCCAGGGCCAAAAGCTGACCATTTATTCACTTATACAAGAACAAAAACAAAACCTCGAAAATTGAAACCAATTGGGATTATTTCAAGGCACGAAGTATGTCTCCCTCATTTTACTCATGAAAAGTTTCCTCGACCCGACCCACGATATCTCCATAGCAACAGAACAGAGGACGAGGAAGAGATTTTCATTGACATCCCAAGTTCAACCGCCTTTTGGGAGCAGTATGTGCTAAGCTTAGTGTCCAAGAGTACAGCGCAGTGGATCGCAAATCAATGTTCCTCTGGAGAAAAGAGATATCACTTGATCCAGTTTCTCGATGACATGTATAAGGTTGATATTGAGGATGGAGCGAGTAGCGCGAGGAAATTGCTGGAGAATGATGATGATTGTATCACGACAAAGAAATCACCAAGATGAATCGAAAATGATGTAAAAAGACAAAAAATAACTATGAAAGAAGCAAAGTGCAGCCTTTTGCTACAAAGCATGATATGATGGGAGGTCCCATTCCATTTTTTCCCACGTCATTCTTCGTTTCACTACCGTTTTCTTGGCGCTTGACAACGTGTACTATATATACGTACTTATTCACATTTGCCTATTCAACGAAATAATACAGAAAATATTCATAAATGTACATGTCAGTAATTAAAAAATGGAATTTTGTATTTATTTTGCTGTCTAGCACCCACTTTGTACAAAAATACATTTACATAAGAATTACAATGATCAAAGACTGCAATAAAAAATTCACAAGCTTTACATTACAAAGTATTATAATTACGAAGTGTGTTTCARCACTACAGATAACATTTCTTTTATTTTGTCAACAGAGACAGAAAAATTTAGAAAATCCTTTTATTCATTAAATATATCATATGTTACAGCAAATATTTACAATTTGTGTTAAAATGCGCTCTATATCTTTTGACGCGAGTTGGCTGCTGTCGTCGACAGACTGTCATCTATAGTCTTGATATATCTCATATTCAGAAATAAAGATTCATGTAAGCTTCTCGGAATCTTTGTTTTCTGATATCCTTTTCTGTTTTTAACTGTGATAAAAAAAAGATAAGATAAATTTTAGGCAAGCTGGAGTATACTACAAAGCCTCATATACAAAATGTCCCAGAGTATTATGGGTAAAATTGAAATGTCCCAAAGTCTTATGGGTAAAATGTCTCAAAGTCTCATGGGTAAATTTTTCCAAAGTCTTATGGGTAAAATGTCTCAAAGTCTCATGGGTAAAGTTTTCCAAAGTCTTATGGATAAAATGTCCCAAAGTCTCATGGGTAAAATGTCCCAAAGTCTCATGGGTAAAATGTCTCAAAGTCTCATGGGTAAAGTTTCCCAAAGTCTTATGGGTAAAGTGTCCTAAAGTCTTATGGGTAAAAATGTCCCAGAAGTAACATACCCCAAAGTCTTTTGCTAAAAAAGATGTCTCAAAGTCTCATGGGTAAATGTTGCTAAGTCACATGAATAAAAAGTTACAAAGCCTCATGGGTACAAAGTGTAACAAAGGTCCTATATATTCAAATTGATTAAGATTATAAGATTCTTAATATTTACCATCAATTTAGCGTTGGTGCCTTCATGGTCATGTATAAGAGAGCAATCTCGAACTTTGTAAAATTTTTGTAGATAACTGAATAATGAAAACATCACAACAATAAGACGTCATCATACACATCTGTTAATCTCACTTTAAAGAGGTGGTATTTTAGTGGTCTACGACTATCAATCATACCTTTTAGGGTACTTGCTTCTTGTGCTTTCTAAGTGTTGGTTGTAGCACTTTCTACAGAAGTGCTTTTTCTTATATTCATAGTAATCGCCAACTGGGTGATTTTTACAGGAGTTACACTAAAAGATATAAAGTATATACGGCTATTTTAAAAAAATGCAAAAGGAGAGATTTCAAAACCAAAAGTTACTGTGTGGGCAATATTTTTATTGCACATAATTCAGTCTGAGGACTGCTATAGTGTTAATATTTTAATAAAAATATTAATCTATCTAGTATCTATCTTGGATGATATTTGACACAAAAAGTAATGACTTTATCATTAGAGCTTGAGTTCATATATCACTTGTGAAAAATTGCTGTAAAACTAGTCATTATCTCTTCAATATGTCAAACAATACATCARTGAAGAGATGCTTTATATTTTCTACTTACTATATCTTTTTCACCATAGTCGTTACATTTAATTTTAACTGGTGTGATTAGCGTCTGAGGTCCACCAAATGTTCCATGGTATTTTACTTGTCTGTTAGTGCTAACGTCATGTTCATACGTTCCTGGCCTGTAGTATAGAAAAAATATATTAATAAACTTTGGTCAATTAAGAAAAAAATAATAAAATAAAATATGTAGTTCAAAACAGCTGAGGTGACTAGAGTGTCGAAGCTTTCAATGAATAACAAAATATTTACCCAGGTTTTTCAGAACTTGTACTAGTCTAAAAGAGAAGATCAAAGATATCAACTTTAGCATAGCAATAATAAAGCATCAAGTGAAGAAAAGAATTCATGTAGGGCAGGAAAAGAAGATGTCATTGCTTATTGTATTCACGACTTTCCATTCACAGGTTCAGTGACCATGAACAAGGCATTGAACTGAGGCGTCAAGGTACAGTGAGCATAAAAAAAAATCTGTTCTCAGCGTTCCTTGACGCCTCACTTCAATGCTTTGTTCGTACTCACTGAACCTGAGTATGGAAAGTCGTTAAGAAGAAAGAATGGATGAATGAATAAACAAATGCAATGAAATAGCAGCCAATGAACAGAGGAGTAAATGGGAGGATGAAAGCGGATGGATGGACATAGAGAGAAATACAGTTGAGAACATCTCATTCCTACCTTAGATTCCTCAGGTAATCTCTTTACACCTACAAGAAAGGGTTTCACATCTGGAACAAACTCTTTGGGTTTACTAATGATGGCTTGGTGAGTTGGAGGCCCTGGCACATCCATCTAATATAAACAAAATTATAATTAAGAGTTTTATTACTTTGTCACATTAAGTACATATTACAAAATACCCAGCCAATGGTGTGGCTACATGGGGTCTATACAACCACATAGCAACTACACAGGGACTGATTTGTTTTCAAAAGACACAAGGAGACCTATCCTTAAATATGTCTAGGTAGTTGAGTAGCCGCTTCTCAGTGATACTTCTGCCCTAATGGATCTTATGCATTCAGTTTTCATTTTTATCTCATAATATTACTTACATGACTTGGCTTTGGAAACCTTGCTGCAGTCCTTGCTCCAAGTGAATAGCCACGAAGACAAACTGGCTTTTGCTCCATTTCGTACACAAATGTACTTGCCTAAATGAATAGAAATGTCACAATGCAATATGATAACGGCTTCTTTTTTATTATCTTTATTAAATGGTATATTTTAAGACATACCTCTGCATTGTCGTAGCATCCTGGCCCAGTTTGTGGACTACCACCGACCGTCAACTGATTCCCAAATCGATTCTGTGGAAGCTTGAGTGGCAACATGGGCCGGTCCAATGTCGTTCCGAACGACACATTTGTCTTATTTGCTAGTTTGAGATATAATTCAAATAATTAACAATAAAATAAAATGATTAGTTTCATTTCAAAAGGTTTTTTAACTTACTTTCGTTAGGGTACAAGGAAAACATGTTGTTCTTCGAGTGTAAAAACAAAATGGATGCTATGTTTCGATTATTTTGCAGACGTTGTTATAGTAACAACGTCATACCGCTGACATGTAAATTTTGCACCACAGGTAACCCAAACAAAAGAACATGAGTTGAGAAAATCAGTACAGACTGTATGTGAGAAAGAAAGAAAGAAAGAATAAATAAGCAAACAAAGAAAGAAAGGGAGACAGAAAGAAAAAAGAAAAGGAGAAGGAAAATAAGTAAATGAAATAAAGATGCAATAATGGAAATGCGGCAAAGGGAAACCAAACAAAGAAAAAAATGTCGGAAATATCACTACAATTTTATTGACGGTTGAATCAATATCCAACTTACGTCACTGCGTGGTAAAAACAAGCCTTTTTTTCCGCTTTTAATCAGAGCACCCATACCCCCATATATTGTGCTGCATTACGCAACGCCTTTCAAGTGTGAAATGATTGAATAAGAGGTATGTATATGCGTGCCTCTTAAGTTTGTTTTGAGATTAGCTTTAGTAAATATTTTGACTTGAAAATTTTTTCCTTCGTCGATGATAAACGGTACTTTGGGGGTGGTAGTGGGGGTTAGTTTCAGTCGGATTACACTGTTAATACACTCCCTCGCTGATGACGTACAAGGTCTTAGTTTTCAATAAGAAAAAAACGCCAAAAGTCACCCACATATGTCAATACATTTTTTTTATCCATACATTTAAGTATCATTATAAATTAAAAAAAAAAAATCAGAGACAGAAAGGATAAGAAAATTTTCCCGCGCAAACTACGCTAAACGCGGAGAGCGCACATGAATTTGCCAGAAAACGATGCTGTTTCCCGTCGCGCTGTCAGACATAAAAACAATCTGATTTTACCAAATATGTAAACAAACACAGAATACATGACTATGATTATAACATTATACACTTTCGCTTTTGTCTTTATGTTTTGTTCCAATTTTGACCTATTTTGGTAGTGAGCCGAGCAAGATAAAACCCCCTGCTGAATAGAAAGGAAGTTTTTATACGCATGACCAGTGTGTCCATCCATGTCTTGTCTTTATACATCGATAGCACATGGAATGGCAATCGCCCTTGAAAAAAAGGTCATATTTTTTATAGATTGTTTACTTTTAGACAAAAAAAAATGGATTCGCCTTCCGTAAGTTCTTCGACAAGTAGAATGCGGAATTGCAGCAGAAACGCGCCGGACGCGGGTAAAGCCAAGGTCGAGTAGTTTTTGGCTGATCTGGCGCATTGGAATGTTTGGGTTAATATGGCACGCAAGTGGACTACAAAGTGATTTTTTGTATAATCAATAACCTGGGGCTTTGCTTCACATTAGTAAAGTATTTTCCGTTCTGCGCAACACTACTAAGCAATGACACTGAGACTTCGTTTACGCAAGAATGAATCATTGCTGGTTAAAAGGCATATCTAGAAGCCAAACGCCCTCAATATAAAAGCGTTCTTCATTTCTATAGCAATTTTGCCAGATATACAGCCTTTTGCAAAAATTATGAGAATTGTCTAAATATCTAAATATCATAATATCCATATCCATATATTGTCCGGAACACGCGGGTTTGCTAGAATAATTCATTGTTGACATCGAGAAAATGTTCAGAACTACGGATAAGTCTGTCGCCAAAAAAAAACAAACTTCAAAGACAAGGGACTAAGGGCATCGCACGGGATTACCCATCATGCACTCGATATTATGATATTTAGATATTTAGACAATTCTCATAATTTTTGCAAAAGGCTGTAAGCAGAATGAAATTAAACAAAACAGCAACTTGAAGCTGTAATATCTCTGTTTTATTATGGACGTTTTGGCACTTTTTTGTTTACACCTTGTAGTCTTCCGACTGAATTATAGTTAATTAGCATTTTAATCCAAAACATATATTGTAACTTAGATATTTTCCTTCCTAACAAACCAACATTCTTGTCATTCNTATGAGAATTGTCTAAATATCTAAATATCATAATATCCATATCCATATATTGTCCGGAACACGCGGGTTTGCTAGAATAATTCATTGTTGACATCGAGAAAATGTTCAGAACTACGGATAAGTCTGTCGCCAAAAAAAAACTAAACTACAAAGACAAGGGACTAAGGGCATCGCGCGGGATTACCCATCATGCACTCGATATTATGATATTTAGATATTTCAACAATTCTCATAATTTTTGCAAAAGGCTGTATATATATATATACAGCAAAATCTTGTCTCTTTGTTATTATATATATATCGACAGAGCGCGATAAAAACAAAATGCGTGAGCGCTTGCCAACCGCAAGTGCTTTCCGTTCCGCAACGTTGAAGAGCAAGGAGCTGCACCTATTTGTAGAAATCGTTCACGTAATAGAAACGTACGGCGTAAACACGTGGAATGTCTGGTACGTGGGCGTTGTAACAGTATTATGATTCAAACTATTACCAAATGGATTGCTTAACAATAAAGTGCATTACACCCAAGTGTACAAGTGGCTGTAATTTCCTGAATTGTATTCTCATGATTTATTCAAGAACTCACTTCAAGGCTTCGCTAGGCATACAAATTGGTAAATTCTATCKTAATTGKTTTTTTAGCATTTAACCAGCCATGCGCAATATTGTGATGATTCGGTTCGAAAGTACGAGACTCCGCACGGAACACACTTGAACGAACACCGAATGAAACATCAWTACCARCTGAAAGMCCTCTAAAAATGACATATTTTGTTGAAAAACAAGCCAATTTGAACTTCCTTTTCGTTTTAATAACCAAGCTGTTAAAACTACTTTTCCATCAATTTGTTATAGAATGTTTTATCTTGTGTCAAATAAATGTTATTCAATATTACGCAAGRTCAGTTCCACAACAAAAGTAAATCTGCACACAGCCCACATAAGTTACGAAATTATTTTGATCTCTTTCAAGACTCCTTTCTTCACATTGCGTCGTGTCTTCATTGCGTTTAGTCTACATTGTAGCAGCCTGGTGGTATTAAAGATTCCGTGTAAACGTTTTCATCAGTATATTGAAACCGTATCCAAACTCGAGGTAGACTTTCAAAAAGTCCCTTTTTCCAAACTTTTACCCTATATTTTGGAAATTTCCTTTCATTATTTTGTGTGAGAAGTCTGAATCGACGCAACTGGTGCAGGAGCTGTCGCTGTTTCGATTCCGTTTTAGAGGTATGAATTGAATAATTTGAATATCATAGACCTCCAGTAGCTTTAAATCATTGAATAATTATTTAATCTTTACATTGGTGATGATACTGATGAGATTAGAGTTTTTAGTGACCAATTTTAACGTATAKGCSCCTATCGCCCTCCATAWCTGATTGATGCAGATGAAGCAAAAGCGCCGAATAGTATCAGTTGTCGACGYGAGTACATGTCGATGTTCACCCAAACTCACAGCCGGGTATTTCCAATATTGAAACTGCATGCGCAGTAAAACTAGTCACAACAGCTTATGGTTCGCAGCTGGAACAACACCTCACTATCGTAAACACAATGCACCTTTTAACTGTTTTCTATACTATTCTTCAAATGATATACCTTCCTATTGGTAATGATCAAGGTACTGTATTGCACTTAGAACTCTCGCGGCCCACTGCCCTAAATCAAAGTAGTTTCTATGGTTAACTTTGCTGTCGCCTTAGAAATCTTTTTCACAATCGACTATACCAAAGCGACAATCAGACAATGTCATGGCATTCATTCGACAATGGACTTTAATTGAATCTAGTCAAAATCAAGCAAAATTACATGTGTACTGTGTGTTTTTTTTGCACTGCTAACAATTCACACACACGCCGTAAACGCACTAAAATTAACCTACAAATGGCACATGCTTTAACAATTATCGCATTCCCATCATGGTTGATATRCATGGACGTCTGATTTCATATGTCTCGAATCTGGACAGTCCACGCGTTAAATATCTCACTAAAAATTGCAACATATGCCAAGTCGGAAAGTGTAATACATGCGACGGAAGAGTACGGCCCTTCCGGAAAAGTAGTATATGACAAGTTAATAGCAGTGTGCGGATTGGCTGAGATCAACGAAGTGGCGGCTCTCCGTTTACGTTTGTTGCTGCGTGGTTACGTTTTGTCACTAAAGTTGTTACCACTCCCTGACAACTCGGAGAAAAAAAGGAAAGAAAAGAAAAGGAAAGGAAAGAAAAGAAAAGGAAATGAAAGAAACGAAAAGGAAAGGAAAGGAAAGGAAAGAAAAGAAAAGGAAAGAAAAGAAAAGAAAAGGAAAGGAAGAGAGTAATGGTAAAAAAGAAATGAGAGAGAGTGAATATTAGGATTAATGTCTAGACAAACCCAGTGCGCAAAATCTTGTGAAAATTAAGACTATACCTGTGCTTGTCACACAACAGTACCTTCCATAAATTTTCCACGCGGGAAAGGGCGATGAAAGATTCCATTCCTCGCTCGGTGGGTGACTCACAATCGAATTCCTAACAAACAAACCAAAATAAAAATGTAGTTTTCTTGTGAATGGCAAACAATCCGGAAGTTGTTAGCACCTTATAAAATGTTGTCACGCAACCTCAAAGACACGTCTGGTGGAATAAACATGCCATTACAAACCCCCGATCTTCCGTTCCATTGTTGACTTCGAATGAAATGAACTTTGATCAAACGTTCGAAAGGGAAAAAAACAAAATTCCAWTCTATCGTACGTAACACATTGGCCGCGTTTTATCAACTTACGCTTTCGATTTATTCTGGGAATGAAAAACATTAAGACGTGATTGAATGAGGGCGTCACGCATCACTGCCCACTATTATAACAAAGGAATTTACTCAAAAAATCAAGTTATCGCCTCTTCAAATGGATAAAATACTTTCGTTTTCAACTATTTAATCTAAATTTTTATCAAATCTACCGGAAATTAAATATCGTAAATGTWKCAGAAAAATCCTGATGGTCCAATAAAAGTCGTCCGCTGACCTYAGATGCTRWATGTAGTGACGTAGCGGGTCGCATGTCGAACCAATCAGTGAGATGAGATCGTATGGAACGCGAGAAATGTGTCATTTATGTCGATCTAATGCTGGAGGGGAGGGCTAATGCATGTCAGAAACGAATACAAACGTCCTAAAAGTCGTTCTCTTTATGTTCTAATGTATCTTTTCAGCTAAAAATACTGGACAATTGAGAAGAAATCCAAGTCACCACTCTAGAATAAGCTTCTTGGCGGCTTGAAACTTACAAACTCCACAAGTGAAAATCGGTTGCTACATATTGTGCTAGAAATACCATTGAAAGGATTCCAAATCATTTCTGAAGAAGACATATACGTTTTTGCTWCAATTCTACAAATGTGGTTCTCTGGATGTGTGCGTTTGTAATAAGCATTAAATGTTGGTATGAAACTCAAGACTTCGGGTTACAAAGCTGGCAAGAATTTGTCGATTGTGTTGTTGTGTCARATYAAAACGTCTACTGAGTCACAATTGCACATTCAAGTTAAACTTTGAGGATGGCATTCATATCGACCGCTCTTCATCGAAAGTACGGAATTGGCTTCAGAGGTATTTGAGTGAGGAAAAGAAGGAAATTTTTGTGGTTTATTCGGCATTAGACTTGCCGCTAATCGATTCAAGACCAAAGAGAACATAAACTACAACGTCTTTGATGTCTAAAGCTCAACAAAATGGCTCAAGACGATTCAAAAGATACGAAGAAACGACATCCAACTCTGATAATGAACAATCAGTATATGCTGAGAGAAATAAAGGAAAATTTAAAACATTTACAGAGGCGAAAGCCCCCACAAATCGGAACTCCGAGTAGCGAAGCCCGGACAACGGCGTCTGCGAGCTCAGAAAACACAGCTTCTTCTGTTAGCTTAACGCCATCAACTTCGTCTAAATACTCTCACCAGGCTAGACGATTTAGTGGTAGTGGACACGCTGAAACTTTGGCTAAAATACGGAGCAGTTTAGAGCCTTACGCCGCCTCAGAATCTGGATATTCTTCTTGTTCGGAGACACCGAACGCAGATGTAAATAAGCAATATCTACACCAACTAGTTACTATTGCCGGCTTCGATGAGGTAATTTGTCCGTCTAGTATAAATTCATCAGTGAGTACTCAAAATTACATTAGCTACCCARCATTTTTAAACATAATATCTCCGGATTTCAGGGGTTATTTTTAGTTTYATTTGAATGGAGTGGCCGTGTTAGTCTTCAGTAATTGTCAAAGCTTATCTGAATTCTCGTGAATTCTCAAAAGCTTTCAGATTGTTGGTTTATATTTAGAACTTCTGAGTTTTATCAGGTCGAGAATGTGAGGGTCGATCATTGGTACTTTCAAAGGACTCTATCGATACAAAACATGTTTCGGAAAGGGTTGGAATTGCTGTGTTTCCTTTTGATATGATTAAGAAATTCCTTTTTGGTTAAATAGTTTAGTTGAATAATACAGGGGAGAAAAGGTTCTTGTGTTTCGACATCTTTATCGGTATTTTAAGTGTTCAATCAAATTTTTCTCCTGCTTYTGGAAAAGGTCAAATTTTAACTCCTTCGTTTTGAAGAAATTGCGTGATACCATCAAATTTCATTATCGTTATGAATGCTTAAGGAAAGATTTAATATTGAGGTATGTAAGCAGGTTTTATCCACGGTTGATTTTCACAGGCTTGAAACATTGAAGTGGTTTGAATTTTTCTCGAGACCCTGGTTCATACACTGACTAATTAGGTCAAATACTTGAAGTTCATTCGCTCTGGAACAATCCAGAGATGTAATTTACTGTGTTGAGCGTTTTGAAATTACTGTAAAAACCTGTTGAATGATTTGTTTGGAGTGCAGTAAGGACAGGCCTCAACATTTCATCATTAGAGGGTTATAATATCATAAATAACATGCTACAGATTCCATACTGAGTGTACTATCCTAAGATATCACTATAATGACTATAAAAATTCCTTTCTCAACAGGACGCTGCAGTCCAGGCATTGAGGGCTACGTCAAGTCGTAGTGTCCAGGCTGCAATTGATTTTCTAACCAGCCAAGTTCAAAGCAAGGAACGTCACTCACCGAACCATCTCYCAGTTGTCAATCAAATGTATCCTCAAAATAAATTAAAGTCTCCACCCTCCTACAATGCAGCTATTCAGAGAAATTCATGGAAAGGATCYCAGGAAGCACTGAACATACCAAAGCGCCCTGAATCTCCATTAACAAGAGATGGACTAGCMCCRCGTAATGCTTCCCCTACTCCAAGTAATAGTTCGRCAGAAGGAGAATGGATGGTCAATTCTAAGAGAGACATCTATACTGGACAGCAGTGGAATGTTCCTTATACAATGGCTAATAACCCACATGGAAGACCTATGGTGTCCAGAGTTACCTGCATACAAGATCCAGTACCTAAGCAGTCCGTACCAGTAGCGCCAAGGATGTTTGTTGGATGGAAACCTGCCACTTCTGCTCAGGCTGCAGCACCACAGTACAGTCAGCATCAAGTGTATWCCACTCAGGGTCTGCCAGCTCAAACACAGGTACCTCARCAACCACCACAACCACAATTTCAAGTCACGGCACAAGTTAATTTAAGCACCAGCACTAACAGGAATGAAGTGTTTTCCAMTAAACCAACCATTAGACCAAGCAATCCTAGATCTACTGCAAGCCCTATGTCTTTTCATGTCCAGGTACACACCAACTGCTCACAACCTTCTAATCAAGCTTCACAACCATCGCCCAAGATGGTACCGTCCAGGCAYATCCAGRCTAACCATAGTAGTCGTGAGGGTTCTGGTGACTCCCAAGGTTATAACCAACGAAATTCACCTATATCAAGAAATCTTGCCTCWAATATTCCRCAAATTGGTCTGCCGCAACACAGCGACCCTTCAGTTCCTAATTTTGTGCAGTGCTATGATCCAAAAGTACAACCTCCKCCWTATGCACCKGTTGCTCAAAGATTATCTGGGACTTCAGATGTTACTTCAGGGCTTGGATGTTCATCTCAGTCGAGTGTCTCAAGCCAGTCGTACCTTTCATCACCACARTAYAATGACAAATGGAGRCACTCGTGGAATACAGAAGCTTCTTCTAATTCRTCCATGGGTGATGAACCTTTTGCATGTTCTGTTTCTGACTCTGGACCACCCTCACCATTCTCAGACACGTCCTCTCACATGCCTGAAGGAAACATGATGGCGACAACTATTCAGGGCTCTGGTGGTGCTGTCATTCAATACAAYATTGACCCATTCAGAAATAGACAAGATGCGCATATGAAAAGCTGTGGYGAGTCAATGGATCTTGACCATCCAGATGACAACAGTATTTCTTCAGAGGAGGARGAATACACCCCTCCAAARAGTATGAAAGATTTGAAATGCAAGATTAAGAACTGCACTCCAGATGCTTATAAATTTTATATGGAACAACATGTAGAAAATGTCCTTMGGTCTCAAAAGCAGCGTGCACAGAGAAAAGCCCAACTAGAAGCCGAAATGGCAAAAGTGGGACTCTCTGAAGAAGCCCAGTTACAAATGCGTGAGATTCTTAAGCAAAAGGAAACAAACTACATGAGATTAAAACGAACTAAAATGGGTATTAGCATGTTTGATAAGATCAAGATGATTGGAATYGGAGCATTTGGAGAGGTCTGGTTGGTTCGCAAAATTGACACTAATCAACTGTTTGCACTAAAGATTCTACGCAAGGCAGATGTGCTACGTAGAAACCAGGCCGCTCATGTAAAAGCAGAAAGAGATCTYCTAGCTGAGGCTGATGATGATTGGTTTGTAAAACTGTATTATTCTTTCCAAGATGAGGAATTTCTGTACTTTGTTATGGACTACATCCCTGGAGGTGACTTAATGAGTTTGCTCATCAAGTTTGGTATATTCCCTGAGGATACTGCCAAGTTTTATATAGCTGAACTAGTTTTGGCCATTGAATCTGTACATAAATTAGGATATGGTCATAGGGATATAAAACCAGACAATATTTTGATAGACAAAGATGGACATATCAAATTAACTGAYTTTGGACTCTGTACTGGGTTTCGTTGGACGCATGACTCAAAGTACTACCAAAAGACTCATCATTCTCGGCARGACAGTGTTGAGCCAGACGAGCGGGAATGGGAATGTATGAAAGCTCACTGCCAATGTGGGGACATTTCTGTTGATAAACCATACAATGAAATGAAACCTCTGGAAAGACGGCACTTCAGGAAGCACATGCGATGCCAGGCACATTCTCTTGTTGGTACACCAAATTACATTGCCCCTGAGGTGTTGCTACGGATTGGTTACACAAAGGATTGTGATTGGTGGTCTGTTGGTGTGATTCTGTACGARATGTTGGTGGGACAACCTCCATTCTTGGCACCAACCCCAGCAGAAACACAAATGAAGGTAAAGCTCAACATTATATGTAAGCAGTTACGGAGTGTTCAGACATGACAGTTTTTAAAGAGCAATTAATGCTYAAGTGGTTTCCATAAACCTGTTAAAACTGTAATTACCAAAATTGTGACCAACAAATAKTATTTAGCAGTAATTTAGTAAATATTATTTCAAGAAAAACTGTGAAAGAGGTTATACACCCTTTTAATAAGTCCMGAGGTATTACGTTCTCCGCACTTGACGTCAAATTTATTCTTTTGAATTCCTTTTGTATTGTAAAAATTTCAAAAGAATAAATTTGACGTCAAGTGCGGAGAAAACAATACCTCGGGACTTATTAAAAGGGTGTACATTCTGTCCATTTTGCAAGTGTATTTTGTGAAACGTTTCCCATACACTTATTTAATCACTTTCATTTCCTTTTTTCAGGTGATCAATTGGAGCCAAACTCTCCACATACCAAGAATAGCTCGGCTATCTCGGGAGGCAGAAGATCTCATYTACCGACTTTGTACCAGTGCAGACAGACGACTKGGAGCAGCAGGGGCATGGGAGATCAAACAGCACCCATTCTTCTCCAATGTCAACTGGGATGTATGCCGCAATAAAGTTGGCGTTCAACCACCATATATTCCAACAATCAGATACCCAACTGATACTTCAAATTTTGATCCTGTTGATCCTGACCGACTGAAGACCAGTGATTCTGGAGAAATCAGCCCAGACAAGCTTGTYCCAGACAAAAGTCGACGCTCTGAACATGCATTCTTTGAATTCACATTTAGACGTTTTTTCGATGATGCTGGGCACTCGCCGGGTTTTACRTGGAACCCAGGAGATGACGATGAAGGCAGCAAGGCGCCAGTGTATGTTTAATGTTGCGTGATAGTTATATATTGTTGTACTACCAAAATCAATGAACTTTACATTTTATAAATTATTAATCAACATAAGGAACATTTTATGTTTCTAATGTTTCTAATGAAGTGGAGTGAAGTAATTAAACCAATGAAAAAAGATTTGACTATTAAAGTGTGAAATCCAAGGCTTATGCCACAATAAGTATGGCTATTTATCTACATTTSCCACTACAAATCTTGCAGTTCTTTGATTTTGGTAGACTTAAAATATCAAGTTCATAGGGTTTTTTAATTTACTCTAGTACAGTAAATGACAGCATGGTCCAGGATTGAAGAAACCTCATTTCAATCAGATTTTTTTTTATAATTTTCTAGAAGATAATACACACTTTCCGTATGTGAAGCAGTTTCTTCTGAGGGAAAACTCAAAAGATTGTCCCTCTCTTGGAAACTGTTTTGCATTCCAGTTTACTGCAATGTCTATGTGGTGCTAAATGATCAAATCTTTATTCTCCATATCTCGTTAGTAGGCTTTTCAGATATCCGGTAAGGAGAATATAGGTTTTGATCCAGTTTTTAGTGTTGTCTGTCKATGAAAAGTGTGATACTCTTCTAGAATTTTATATGCCTCATTTCAAAACAAGTTTACCACCATAAACACTGTGCTTGCTGCAATTCAATCTCACCCAAAACACTAATTTATAATACTCAATAGAAACCAATATCTTTGTAAGTAAGTCATTGCCAAGCTATGGTTTTGTACATGTATAATATTGCATTCACAAACTGTAAAGTTTTTATAGAAATATAAGTACAAAAAGTGTAAGAAATCCAAAGCATTTCTAGACTATTTTTATCCAAAAACTATTGTAAATAACAATATCAAAGCACTAACTCAAGACTATTTCTGTTAGGTGTACAGCAGTGTTTGAACATTTAAGAAATGAAAATACTCACAGAGGACTGAGAATAAACAAAAATTATCTTTATGATCAATGATGTTATATAATGTTGTGTCCATTTACTTTGTTTTACTTGTGTTTTTACTTGTTTCTTTATTTCGTGGTTTTCTGTGTTACCTTGTACTCATTTTTGTTTATTTTATATTTTTTTTGTTTTTCGGGTTTTCATTGTTTCATTTGTTTTTTCTCCAGTTTCTTTTGATGTAATAGATTTTTTCTTAGTTTTATTTATTTCATTTGTCATTATTCGTGTCTAGTTTTACGAGTTTCTTTTGTGTGCCAATGTCTCTCCACATTTTAATGACGTCATTACCAGTATGTATCACTGCTTTTCGCATGGTTGAAAATCCTGGCTCAGTTGGGAGTCCTCAATCCTCTGACCTCGCTCGATAAAGTTAAAAATAACGATGAAAAATCAAAATATAAATCTCCATATAAACAACAGACGTAATTTTAAGGTGTGAWGATAAAACACAAAGGAAATTACGAAATCTTACAGAAATTTCGTTCCGGTTCAGTTCATGCGTCAAGTCGTAGTCGTCTAGGGAAGCGTCTATCGACGGAATCAGCGCGACTCAGTTCTTAGTTTAAAATTGTGCCTTTTACTGATAATTACCTACAATGGATTCCTTTTTCCATTCAAAAAGATATTGCGAAAATGTTGCGTTTTTTTTATCAGCATACAGCTTTCAAGTATAGACCGATAGGAATTGTGGGAACTTGTTGACATATGCAAACGGAAAAAAATCTTGAAAGCAATCAAAATATTAGAATTAGAATTCGATCAACGCATTTACGCAAGTTTCAAAATAGTGGGAAAATGCACCAAAAATTACGCCAAAAGGATTCAAAAAGAGATCTGATGGCCATCAATCAATAATCGCGAGACGGGCACAAAAAGAATCTAAAGGAATCCACAGAGATTGACCCCAAACTCCAGCCATTGCAGCGAGGAGCGGAAATGCAACCATTCAGTTCACATCGATGAAGTGGACTTTACACCGTGCATTTTTACAGAGAAAGAATGCATTTAATTCCGCTGGCAATAATTACCGCGATGACAGACGTGGCATGTTAATCACGTGACAGCCTATGGGTAGAGGAGCTCTTCTTTGAAGGGAATCAGTGCGCATGTCGCTCGATACCGAGGGAAAAATAAAACTATCAACGAAATTACAACCTCGAATAAAATCCGAATATCCACTTCAAACATTATTGAAATCTGTTTTTTGGTCAAGAGCATTACAACTGTTGCGAAGGGKTTTTGTCAAGTGCTCGAACTTGTGCCTCCAAGTGATCTAATTCTGGTGCAAGCATATAAGACGCTTGCACTTACTTGAAACTTGAGGAGAGCAATGCGATGATATCTTTACATTTGTTGGATGTGGAAATGTAATCTGTTAATGACGCCAGAATTATGTCAAGTGGATTACTGTGTCATATCCCGCCCGTTCGTGGTCACATTTTTTAAGAGTCATGCATCACATTTCATAATGCCTTAGGACTACCCCACTAAAACTATCCACAAAGCAAAGATAAAAGATAACAGGCACAAAGAAACCTGAAGATTATTTCAATAGACAACATTCCAAAATAGATTGAGCTAAATTCTGTGTTAAAATTCAAGTGTAATTTAGAAGGAGTGGTTGAAACAAAGTGCAATGGTCAAAGTGTAATAATGTCCTACATACCAAAAATACAAAGTCAAAGAAAACCGTGAAAAATAGAGATTAATGAAGTGTGGTGCGGTAAAGTGTCTCATGAATAAATGAAAACTCTACCAATGAGCGTAGTTGGAAGGTATTATTTCAGTTTTGCGACAAAAACATTACTTAAAGAACGGCCATCCCTTGCAGAATGGTCAAGCCGCACAATATGAATGATGTACAGATAATCTTTACACGTTTTTGTTAAACCACCATCTACTCAGAATGAATACATCTTTATACGACCACCTTGTGCACAATGACCAGCCCCAACACATATTCATACTGCACGACTGCCTCTACACAACGACCAGATATTCGCAAACGACCGCATTCACATCATGGTTAAATCTCTGTTCATTTTATTGCAAGCAGTGAATAGCTCCTGACGAGATACACCGTGATAAACGAATATCATGGATTACGAGCTATGTGGGCGTAAAGAACTCTATAAATAGTTCCCCGTGTGTAAATATAACGACATTACTATCCGATATAACAAAAGGTATGTCTAGTGCGCGGTCTGAAGGAAATTCGCTCGTAAGGTCACCGGTGTGTGCTGATGATAAGACTTGTAAACCTTAAAATACATTAATGAATGTAATCCAAGCACTWGGTGGTATTAAATTGATATTTGCGCTGTGTTAAAACACAATATTTAAGGAAAATATCAATAGGCAAYGTAACGACGCMGTTATCTCGAGCAAAGCATGATGGGAGGTGAATCCTCGAACTTGTTTTCTTTTTGTTGTTGTTGTTGTTTTCTAAAAATAATAATAAATTGTATCCCGTATTCCTTCAACTTGGGTCACACGAGAACCCAAAACAACTTGAATTTTTGAAAGAAAACACGCGAAAACTCACTGGTGATTCGACTCCAAGGGGACTACATTATACCGTCATACTTTGTTCGAGCGTCACATGAAGTCTAAAATTACTGCGAAAAAAAACAATATAATATATCAACGTAATTGAGCTTTTTTATTGAAAGACCTGCGAAGGCTATAGTCCCTCAGTTCCACAGAGCTATAAGGGCTAAACGAAATGCGAGGATAAAATCGTAGATAACAAATGAATCTTTTTGTTGTACCTGTAGAATCGTTTTATTTACTCTGTTGGTGTTCAACCATTTTTTATTGAGATAAGCTCGTCATCAGTGAAAGTCGTGAAACTCTTCATAATCATGTGTTGACTGTGTATTCATTGGGACTCCTGTGTACGCCCAATAACACAGGAAACCCAAGAAAAACTTCCACAATTCAATCAATGAAACCAACTTCTTCCAAAGGTTTTGGTAATTCCTTCCTTTGTACCACAGCATATCCACTGAAATATTTTAATAAATTTTCCACATCTTGTTCATTTAGTTTGTAGTGATTTGACAGTTTTTGTTCAGTCCATTCACTGGGGTCATTCAAATGTTTTTCAAAGAGWTCATTTAGATTTTGAGATGAAATTTTTCCCTTTGCTATTTCTGTTGTTAGGAGTGAACTTTGGGAACTTCTTTCTTGAGGAAGTGGCCGTGAAGATGTAGTTTTATCCTGCAGAAAGAAGGAAAACATTTTGAATTGATAATTGCCGTTAAATGCAGTATAAAAGCAAGGCATCTCCTTTGCTAACAATACACTGCTTGAACATCTATTTAGTCAAACTAAAGTTCATTCATTACCATTTTGACATCTGTAGAATCTACTTTGAAGTCTTTCAACGCATTCAAAAACTTTTCATCTTTACTGTCCCTAATTTTGAAGTCCTCGTGAGTTTCTTATGTCAGGAAAAATCAAAGAATGGCATTAGTAACATTAAAATAATTGGCTAAATTATTATTATTAATAATAATATCATCAGTTGGCTGCTTTATACATGACTAATTCCCTTTGTAGCTTGCCCTTCAGGCTGCAATGGAGGCTATTACAAAAACGTTGACAGAGTGAGATTCCTAGCAACTGAACACACATGCCCAATCTTCCTTCACCTTCTACATGGGATTCCTGTGTTAAATTGTCATTCAAAAATATCATTTTTCCCCCCTACGATTACAGAATAATCTGTTACATTCCTTTGTAGATTATCATATCATTCATTAAAAGAATATCATATATTTTGCTCAACTATTTTTCCTTTTTGTCGCTCTGAAAGAAAGAGTAAGCTTACGTAATCTATGTGCGAATATCTGTGCATATAAGTCAAGCTCCACAGCCACAGAAGGCCATTAAAATAAACAAATGTATTTTTTACTCCAGATACAAGTGCTTAAACCTAAACATATAGCAGAGAGAACGCACAAAAAATGGTAAACRTAGCTTAACTACTTCGTCAAAATAGCAAAAMTCTTACCAAGAACCAAGTCTAAAGTAATTTTTWAATTATTTTCACTTACCTGATGTTATTTTTTCGATAGCTTCTCTAGAAGATGGATGCTTAGGTGCACTAATTGGCTTAGATTCCAATATTTTATCAATTCGGCCCTGTGTTTCAATAGGTTTTCTTAAAAACCGACTAAAACGTGAGACCTTGGCGCCCATCTTGGATTTTTTATTCTACTGCGCAGCGCAGCACCGCTGGACCACAGGGAGCCCATTAAAGGGATTTCACTTGTCATTCCGACGAAATATGATACAATATATTGCTGAACAAATTTTATTTAGATCAAGATATTATCATTTTACTTTATTAATTCACACTCAAGTTATTAAATATTTCAATAATTTGAAACTTCCTGATTAAAATTACTTAAATTATAAATATATAAGTTACTAGCATTTTATGCATCTGATTTTGATAATACCTTTCATTTTAGAAAATAGAGAAGTTCATGAGAATTAAAAACAGAATAGAAATTGAATAACAATACATTTATTAACTTATAATTTACGAAAGCCACTCAATTATGTTATATCTATTTCAAGGGTTTTCGGAGCTCATTGACACAGTATGGAGACTCATCGAGCAGGCTAAATGAAATGATTTTGTATATCTTATCAAAACATTTAATCGCTCATCAATGATGTACAATTCTCCTCTTGCTTTATAAAACCCATAGACCGTCTGCTCCTMCKACTSAGTAGGGGTGGGTGTGGAACYATTGGTACAGTCTTTGACCTCGTGGGMGAACTYAGKGCTCTRAATCTATTAGGCGAAACTTTCTTCTTATTTTTGTTTCTTGTTGAACATCTGTTTCTACAAGATATTGGCCGTCTAACGTTGTGTGTTATGCCRTTCARGACWGCGATTTCATTGAGAATTCGTTTATAAGTGGTCATGTCTTTTAAAAAGTAGGGGAACCTCAAACAATCCCGGCGTGCAATGCGTCGAATACGTTTGAGTTCATCGGTGCATATTTTCCCAGCGTAGAAAAGTTTGAAGTCGATTTCGTTGACTTGTCGGAGGATGCGCACTGCACCTGTTCAACAAAGAAGAACAGAATTGTAGATTGAATTAAAACGTTCAGCAAAAGTCTAATAAAGTAGGCCTATAGAATGGTGGWAACTAGCGGTAAACTAGTGTGAGCTGCGTCGGTGTTTCTAAAGAAACAGTTGTGTAAAAAGATAAATCACACATCGTAAAAAAAAATTGGTGATACAGCTTAGTGACGTTTCGGACGTTAATCGTCTTTACTCCGACGAAGGATCAACGTCCGAAACGTCANATTGTTTTGCTTCAACTCTACTTACAGAGTCATAATTTTTGCTGGCTTTTGTGTGTCTTGTCGTAAATCCCATAACTTGACCTGACCATTCATAGCGACTGTGATAATCTCACTGGCACCGGGATAYGATATACCATTAATAGTAGTACTATCTGGTGAATCTGGAAAATCAATATACCATGCTACCAGTTAATGAAGGTCACTAAGTCCAAAATATCTCAACACCATAATTACCGATTGTTCTGGCAGGGCGTGTCTGTTCTAAYGCCAACAAGTTAATACGGCCATCTTCCCCTGCTGTTGCAATATCACCTGTCACTCTATTAACGGCAAYGCATGTGCAWGAAGTACCAGTATTWCCAATATAATGCAACATGTCCCACGACTGTTGCTCAAGTAGACACTGCAAGTTGAACAGGACAGATCAGTACACAATTTAGTCTTAATCTTAAACAATAATTACTGTTGATATCATGGTAAGCCTCAACCAATATGTAATTGTTTCATATCATATTCAGCCTTATCCAATAATTGTAAATATTGTACTTGGTCTTAACCAATAGTTTTCCATATCATATTCTCCCTCAATCAATGTTTTTCAATATCATACTCTCCATCAACAAATAGGTTTTCATATCATACTCAGCCTCAATCAATAATTTTTCATGTCATGTTCAGCCTCAACCAATAATTTTTCATACCACACTTCATCAGGAATACCTTTTTTCTTGGATGGTAATAGTATAGAGCAGCAGAACCAGTAGAAGAAGCAACAAGAAGCCTTTCTTTATCCAAAAACTGAAAAAGAGAATAACATTTTGTAACTTACTCAAACAATTTATTATTATTATTGTTTTGATTATTCTTTGAGAAGTAATTAACGTTAATTAAGGCATGGTCCTAAGTTAGGACTTGCACTTAGTGGGAGTGAGGGTGGGGGGCACTTAGTGGGAGTGAGGGGGGTGGAGTGGGGGTGTCATGGATGTTTGAGCCGCATCACTTACCTGCATATCTGAGACATCCCCGGCGTGTTCTTTCTCGCACAGCAAAACCGGTTCATTTGGAAGGGAAGTTGCTTCATTCACTGACTCATCAGAGCCTTCAACTTTCCATAAACACAGTTTATTCACCTGAAGTAGAAAAGGCATTTTAAAGCATGAAAAATCACTGTTTTTCGTCCAGAATTTAACTTTTCCTAAAACAAAATCTACCTCATCGTCCCATCCTCCAGTAGCAAACGTATCCGARGTAGCTATTGAGCCTTGTTGTAGAGGACTCCAACGTGTTTTAGCTATCTTATGACCAACGTATTTCGCGACAACTTCACCTCCAGCCGCCATCTTGTTCTTTCTCACATGGCGCGCTTTTGCGGGATCCCTGTGTTACTATACGCTGACTTGTAAAATCAGCTGGCTCATACATAGTTTACACGTGAACTTGATCAAATGGCAAATAGCTTTTGTTGTGATACATTTTGTTAGATTCCCAACGATGTCTGCTTTTACTAAAGCAAAGAAAGCTTTCCARAAGAACCATAAAGAAAGAGGGCAGGTATGGGACGAGTTTGATCMCTGAAAATACGCCATTTTGACTTGTATGTTCATCTAGATGACCTTAAACATTTTTTTATTGTAGCTCAAAAGTCGAAATCATCTTGGACTGCTAGAAAAACACAAAGATTATGTCTTGCGTGCAAGGTGGGTATTTTTGAACTGTAAGCAAGGTATATTGATGTAGTAAGAGTGTAATTCTTTTGTTGTTGTTTCCAGGGATTATCACAGCAAACAATCAAGACTCAAGAAACTTAGAGAAAAGGTAGCATTCCTTGAACCTGAATTCATTCAATCCAGGGGGAGGTCACAGTGCTCATGCGGACTCCATATTCCAAGCCCATCCCTCATCAAAGCCAATATAAAAGAACTCTGACTGTTGGTGCAGAGGGTGAAGATTTTATGTAAACTTTACTTATTGCTTTACTGATTTTGTGTAGGCCCTCAACAAGAATCCAGATGAATTCTACTTCAAAATGATCAGTACTAAAACTCAGGTACATTCATTTTATGCATTATTCTTATGCAGTTGTTGTTGTTTTTGATTAAAGAAGCTTGCAATACACACTCCTTAGATCCACTTCCAGAATGCCGTTGACACATGTCTGTCATTCATATGTGATATTCATATGTATGTCYGTGTGTCTCAAGCATTCAACAGCTTTACCGCTGCACATTGGAAGTGCATGAGTCATTGGTGTGTTAGATTATTGTACCTCTTGTTGAGTTCTTCAGGTCTTTAGCCGACTAACAGCAGTGATTATTTACTGAGGTACTTAGTTGCTGGGTTAGTTTCTTTGTTGCTTCAGACWGGACTCAACAAGGGACATYATTATTATTTTTATCATTGTTATCATCATCATTATCATATCATTATTGTTATGATTATTCAATATTATTATTGTTAATGTTGTTATTTGTTTGTTTTCTTGAATTTTTGACTTATTTAAGAGTGAATTCATTGTAGTTACTGTCTTTACTTTGACTATATTCTGATAGGATGGTGTCCATCAAACGACAACAGGGAAAAAACATACTCATGAACAAATGAAAATGATGAAATCACAAGACTTGAACTATGTCAATATGAAGAGAAATACTGAAGCAAAGGTAAGCTTGCGTGAACATAGCCTCCTCCACAGCATCTGCCACAGGAAGCCCATCTGCTCATAAACCAAGTYTATCTTTGGAGTTGCATGTGGAGGGAGCTAACATGAACAACATGCCATTTTTTTATAGATTCAGGGTAACGTGAATTTGTTTCCAAAATGCTTGAACCATTCAAGTGAATTATTGTATTTTGGCAATGATTCTTTGTCAATTGTTTGATTGAAAATTGCCATTTCAAATGTTTTTATATATTTTTTATTGTAGAAAATTGAAAAATTACAGTCAAGTCTGCATCTTCTTGAGGATGGTGATGAAAGCACACAAAAGAATCAACATATCATATTTGTCGACAGCAAAAAAGAAGGTAAAATACTATCATATTTTTACATCTAGTATTTATTTATTTTTTTTATTTTTTTTGCTTGCTAAAATTGATATATGTTGATCTATCTATTGAACTATTGAACTATTTGTTGAACGTTTTAATCATTTTAACCTTTTCCAGTTTTCATATTTTATTTCATTCAAATCTTGATTTCTTCAGCTAGAAACTTTGATGCAGCCAAGCACTTCAACACGTTACCAGAACTTGTTTCTCGCACTTACAASAGACCTAACCTTGAATCTTTGAAAAATGAGCCAATTTTGTCGGCAACAGATACACGGTCATTAAAGGTATTACTCTSAACTTCTATTTCAACTGTAAAACTATCAATAATATATTGATACATTAGTGGATCTGTCTTCCAAACACTGAATTTTTAAGAGTGCTAAACACCATCTTGAAAGGTAGCTGTGGCTTTTGTACTGGCAAGGATAKATATCTGTGAAGAATCATTCCCCCAGGTTTGAAAAGATGATACTGCAAACCCAATCGCTTTCTCAATTCAATACCAAGGCACAGCTATCTTTCAAGACTCTGAGATCTGTAAAATTAAGGAGCTGTGGAAGTATTATAGCAGTAGTTTTTAGTTAAGATGTTGATCAGTGGGTTTTCAATTCAAAATTGCTAGAAACTAAGCAAGCAAAGAGATCAAAAATATCAAGAGCTTCAACAGAGAATAGAAAGAAAAGAGAAAATAACCAAGATGGCTGCAAAGATTGAATTGCAGAAAAATCTAATGGTAAGGAATTTGAGAATCAATGTATCTACGTCAATACTGTCATGGTGATTCTGTGATAATGGAAAAGGTTTTAGGGTTATTGTAAGGCCAATTTACATTACACAATTTTAACCTACGACTAGGGTATATGATTTACCTACAACATGTGGGCCTTAAGTCACATTATTTTGATAATTTCATATAGTTTTATATCTTTTCATGTCAGTAATATATCTCCTGAAATTATAACGCTTTTTAATATGAATAAACTTTTGATGGTTTAAAAACGGTACCACAAGTCATGATTTGTTGTCGTCAGTCGTAAGGAAGTCATACAGCAGTWCATGAACATGGCACAACTTGGAGCTCARTTGTGTTGATACAGAACAATATCACATAATGTAAATCCTCATTTAGAAAGAGAGAACTGGAGAACAGTTTAAGGAAGATTTCAATGACATAACCCTGAGTTTTTCATCTTCAGGGAAAGGGCAAAAAGAAGAAAATCTGTCAAGAAACAGAAGACAAGCCTGCTGTTTTCAAATGGAGGAAAGAAAGAAAAAAATAATTTTTTATCCTTTTCAATTAAATATTATTTTGTGGTCTTCCTGTGGTAGTTATTGTGAAGAGGACTTGTAAGTAGTCTTCAAATAATCTTCCCAATAACATGTAAACAAATTATATCAAAATTAAAGAAACATTATTTATTTGATTTGTACATAGGATTACTAATCAGCTTACTGCCAGCAGTAAGTCCTGTGGGGGGGATCTGTGGGGCATTTTAGGTACTGCACAAGGGGAGAGGGGTAATCAACACCAGATTTGCACAGGCCATGGAGCAGCCCTCTTGTAATCATTCTGGTGTTCTTCATGTTTGATGTCTTGTGTTTCCACGGTAGCAAGTACAGCTGAGTTAGGTCTATTTTTAGGGATGTTCACTGTGCTTGGTTGGCTTGTAGTTGACTGTAAACGTGCAAAGAATTCATCCATTTTTTGTCGAGTTTCGTTTGCTTGTTGGTCCTGATTAAAATAAAAGATGACAGCATGTGAAACACGTACAGTGAAGTCAAAAAAACCGTGAAATAGATATTACACAAATACACCTTAGTACGCTCTAATTATTGATTTGTTTGTCTCTATTTCACACATTAAAAGTCACATTTTGTTTCAAGGGTTTATAGTGAAGTAAAAAAACCCGTGAAACAGATATTACACAATTACACCTTAGTACGCTCTAATTGCATTGTTGAATTCTATTGTTTAATTCTAATCTATTTGACTATCACGCTTTTATAGTCAAATTTTCTTTCACAGCTTTGCATGTTCATTTATTAAACCAATAGCCTCATAAGCCTTAATAGTCGGCAACTCTCTAGTACACACCTTTTCATCGACTCGCTGAAGGCCTTTTCCAAACACCATCATCTTTGTACTGCTTGGAGTCACTTTTTCGCATTCAGATGCTAACTGCTCTGGCGTTGGCTGACGRCAGTTTTGTTTTAACCCGGTGTATTTGAAATCTAACTCATTGAGTATGGTTGAACGGTCGGGATAACGACTAGAAACGTGTGCTGCGCGGGACGACGCGCGTACGTGCGTGGCTGCGCTAGTCTGGGTTGTGTTCTTTTGTAGAATCCGTCTAAGTTTTCTRTAGTCTACGGGAAATTCCGGATTGAAAACTTTTATAGGCAGTTCTTCCTCGAGTCTTTCTTGTTTCTGGCAACGATTGATTGATTTTTCTTGAATTAAGTATTTCAAATGATTTTTTAGTTTGCTTGAAGGGAATTCTTCATCTGCATCTTTTTTCTGATTATTTCCATTCACTTTCCACTTCTTATTTCCACGTTGTTCTATCCCCTTTATTTCCCTTTTATTCTCRTTCAGTTTCCACTTTTTATTTCCATCAATTTCCTCACGCGGTGGAGTCAAARGAACGGTTTTGTCCTTGTAGATCATCAGGTATTCATCAACATGGCAGTTGTCGACCATCGATGCAAAGCTTACCCTSTGTCTACTGTTAGATTCACAATGAGGCGTCTCCCGATCGTAGAGTTTCCCACCACCCGCAGTTATTTCATGCTCGTCCTGAGGTGAATCTGAATCACTATTCAATCGTTTTGAAGGAGAATTCCAAAAATATTCTCTTGGCCTTCTGCCGCTGCTAACATACTCTGTAACAACTTGTCGAACTGTCGGACGAAGTAGTTCTCGTTGTCGAGAAGTGTTGGCTTTCTTTGGTGAACATTTTGGGCTGTGGACACGGAATTTGATCTCACTTTTTGAACCAATTGGCAACTTTAATCTTTCGTCTGTTGTCTGTGCAGATTTAGAACGTGCAAAATTGCACTGCTTGTCAATGTCATCTATTTTATGCAGGGACCAAGATGGGTCCTCGGAATGAGGTCTTTTTTGCTCGTCAAGTTTGGATCCAGTTTCAATTTGTTCTTCTTCCTCATCGTCTCCAAACCAGTCGTCTCTACTTGGCACAAACACTTCGTAGTTCTCTAATAATAAGCGTAGATTCTCGTTGCGGTTTGAGGTGTCAGTCCTTGATGTGCGACCAGACGATGGTGTCTGTTCACCACTTGTTTCATTGGGCGTTTGGTTTCTCATCAATGCTATCAAATCTGCTACAGTTTTGCATTTTACTGTTTTTGGGACCGGGCTTTTTGTACGATGAGTGCACTGATGCTCTGAAAAGGGCAAGTGAAGTATTATTTTAAGTGATATATACTTTTTGTGCGCACTGAATTTGACCCATGTGGGATTTGACGTTTGAAAACACGATCACGCCTCGTGAAAACTGCTACTTGAAAAGTAGAAATGACTGAGATGAGAGGAATGGAAATAGGATGAAATAACATGCGCATCGAGAAATGAAAACACAAATGGGATTCTTACTTATCACATTTTGTTTGCTTGTATCAGGATTAGTTCTTGAGCTTCCACTACTGTCTCTGTAATCCCCATTAGCTTTGAACTTCCCTCCGTATTTCTCCATGGAGCGATCATCCCCAACTTCCTTCGGGAGTTTAACTGACATTTTAAAAATGTGCTTATCCTCTTTAAATCGGTGTATGCATTGTTTCTTTTCCTTCTCCAGGAGGTCCATTTTTTGCTCGTGTTTGTAGTTTTCAAGGCGAAAAGCCGTTAGATTGCTAACTGGTGATGAATGCATTGTCCCTGTTGCTGTCCTAGTTGATGGATGTGTCTGTTTTGTAGCGATTCTGTATAATACAAGACGCTCATCTCTAGTACCGCGCAGTTTTCTCGACGGGCTGAGCACATCTCCCGCCGCCATGACAGCTTAGATGAGCGTTCACTCTAATCGTTTATGACGTCAGACGCGCGTTTTAACCGCGCGTACTAATCGCGAAACAAACAGTTCACATTCTGAAATTTTATTTTGCTCAAAGTCAAGCTTATGATAACTTTATTCAAAAACAGAGCTTATCTTTTGAGTGAAAAAGACAAAATGTTGTAAATAACTAAGTTTGTTTTGGGAATTTTGAGGACAAGCGCGAGCAAAACTACTAATAACTGATGCCGTTTGCACCGTTAGATCACCAGATAAACCATCATTCAGTTGGATACCTTTATCCATCATTCAAGGTCCTAGCCTGCGTTCAAACCATTCTGTTTAAGACTTCATTTCTTTCACTGTATGGTGTGTGCGAAGGCTTTAAGACCCTGGAGTAAAATCAACGAGAAAGAGACTTCTTCCAGGTAAGATGTATGGTGTGTGCGAAGGCTATCAGACCTTGGAGTAAAATCAACGAGAAAGAGACTTCTTCCAGGTAAGATGATGGTTTAATTTCTTACTTTTATTTCAATTTACATCATTTTTGCCTTCTCTGCGAGTCGCCTGTCTCTCTCCTCAGCAATACTGAGTCTAATTCCTTTGCCCTTTGGTAAAGATACGNGGAGCAGCAGGGGCATGGGAGATCAAACAGCACCCATTCTTCTCCAATGTCAACTGGGATGTATGCCGCAATAAAGTTGGCGTTCAACCACCATATATTCCAACAATCAGATATCCAACTGATACTTCAAATTTTGATCCTGTTGATCCTGACCGACTGAAGACCAGTGATTCTGGAGAAATCAGCCCAGACAAGCTTGTYCCAGACAAAAGTCGACGCTCTGAACATGCATTCTTTGAATTCACATTTAGACGTTTTTTCGATGATGCTGGGCACTCGCCGGGTTTTACRTGGAACCCAGGAGATGACGATGAAGGCAGCAAGGCGCCAGTGTATGTTTAATGTTGCGTGATAGTTATATATTRTTGTACTACCAAAATCAATGAACTTTACATTTTATAAATTATTAATCAACTTAAGGAACACTTTATGTTTCTAATGTTTGTAATGAAGTGGAGTCAAGTAATTAAACCAATGAAAAAAGATTTGACTATTAAAGTGTGAAATCCAAGGCTTATGCCACAATAAGTATGGCTATTTATCTACATTTGCCACTACAAATCTTGCAGTTCTTTGATTTTGGTAGACTTAAAATATCAAGTTCATAGGGTTTTTTAATTTACTCTAGTACAGTAAATGACAGCATGGTCCAGGATTGAAGAAACCTCATTTCAATCAGATTTTTTTTTTATAATTTTCTAGAAGATAATACACACTTTCCGTATGTGAAACAGCTTCTTCTGAGGGAAAACTCAAAAGATTGTCCCTCTCTTGGAAACTGTTTTGCATTCCAGTTTACTGCAATGTCTATGTGGTGCTAAATGATCAAATCTTTATTCTCCATATCTAGTTAGTAGGCTTTTCAGATATCCAGTAAGGAGAATATAGGTTTTGATCCAGTTTTTAGTGTTGTCTGTCKATGAAAAGTGTGATACTCTTCTAGAATTTTATATGCCTCATTTCAAAACAAGTTTACCACCATAAACACTGTGCTTGCTGCAATTCAATCTCACCCAAAACACTAATTTATAATACTCAATAGAAACCAATATCTTTGTAAGTAAGTCATTGCCAAGCTATGGTTTTGTACATGTATAATATTGCATTCACAAACTGTAAAGTTTTTATAGAAATATAAGTACAAAAAGTGTAAGAAATCCAAAGCATTTCTAGACTATTTTTATCCAAAAACTATTGTAAATAACAATATCAAAGCACTAACTCAAGACTATTTCTGTTAGGTGTACAGCAGTGTTTGAACATTTAAGAAATGAAAATACTCACAGAGGACTGAGAATAAACAAAAATTATCTTTATGATCAATGATGTTATGTAATTTTGTGTCCATTTACTTTGTTTTACTTGTGTTTTTACTTGTTTCTTTATTTCGTGGTTTTCTGTGTTACCTTGTACTCATTTTTGTTTATTTTATATTTTTTTTGTTTTTCGGGTTTTCATTGTTTCATTTGTTTTTTCTCCAGTTTCTTTTGATGTAATAGATTTTTTCTTAGTTTTATTTATTTCATTTGTCATTATTCGTGTCTAGTTTTACGAGTTTCTTTTGTGTGCCAATGTCTCTCCACATTTTAATGACGTCATTACCAGTATGTATCACTGCTTTTCGCATGGTTGAAAATCCTGGCTCAGTTGGGAGTCCTCAATCCTCTGACCTCGCTCGATAAAGTTAAAAATAACGATGAAAAATCAAAATATAAATCTCCATATAAACAACAGACGTAATTTTAAGGTGTGAWGATAAAACACAAAGGAAATTACGAAATCTTACAGAAATTTCGTTCCGGTTCAGTTCATGCGTCAAGTCGTAGTCGTCTAGGGAAGCGTCTATCGACGGAATCAGCGCGACTCAGTTCTTAGTTTAAAATTGTGCCTTTTACTGATAATTACCTACAATGGATTCCTTTTTCCATTCAAAAAGATATTGCGAAAATGTTGCGTTTTTTTTATCAGCATACAGCTTTCAAGTATAGACCGATAGGAATTGTGGGAACTTGTTGACATATGCAAACGGAAAAAAATCTTGAAAGCAATCAAAATATTAGAATTAGAATTCGATCAACGCATTTACGCAAGTTTCAAAATAGTGGGAAAATGCACCAAAAATTACGCCAAAAGGATTCAAAAAGAGATCTGATGGCCATCAATCAATAATCGCGAGACGGGCACAAAAAGAATCTAAAGGAATCCACAGAGATTGACCCCAAACTCCAGCCATTGCAGCGAGGAGCGGAAATGCAACCATTCAGTTCACATCGATGAAGTGGACTTTACACCGTGCATTTTTACAGAGAAAGAATGCATTTAATTCCGCTGGCAATAATTACCGCGATGACAGACGTGGCATGTTAATCACGTGACAGCCTATGGGTAGAGGAGCTCTTCTTTGAAGGGAATCAGTGCGCATGTCGCTCGATACCGAGGGAAAAATAAAACTATCAACGAAATTACAACCTCGAATAAAATCCGAATATCCACTTCAAACATTATTGAAATCTGTTTTTTGGTCAAGAGCATTACAACTGTTGCGAAGGGTTTTTGTCAAGTGCTCGAACTTGTGCCTCCAAGTGATCTAATTCTGGTGCAAGCATATAAGACGCTTGCACTTACTTGAAACTTGAGGAGAGCAATGCGATGATATCTTTACATTTGTTGGATGTGGAAATGTAATCTGTTAATGACGCCAGAATTATGTCAAGTGGATTACTGTGTCATATCCCGCCCGTTCGTGGTCACATTTTTTAAGAGTCATGCATCACATTTCATAATGCCTTAGGACTACCCCACTAAAACTATCCACAAAGCAAAGATAAAAGATAACAGGCACAAAGAAACCTGAAGATTATTTCAATAGACAACATTCCAAAATAGATTGAGCTAAATTCTGTGTTRAAATTCAAGTGTAATTTAGAAGGAGTGGTTGAAACAAAGTGCAATGGTCAAAGTGTAATAATGTCCTACATACCAAAAATACAAAGTCAAAGAAAACCGTGAAAAATAGAGATTAATGAAGTGTGGTGCGGTAAAGTGTCTCATGAATAAATGAAAACTCTACCAATGAGCGTAGTTGGAAGGTATTATTTCAGTTTTGCGACAAAAACATTACTTAAAGAACGGCCATCCCTTGCAGAATGGTCAAGCCGCACAATATGAATGATGTACAGATAATCTTTACACGTTTTTGTTAAACCACCATCTACTCAGAATGAATACATCTTTATACGACCACCTTGTGCACAATGACCAGCCCCAACACATATTCATACTGCACGACTGCCTCTACACAACGACCAGATATTCGCAAACGACCGCATTCACATCATGGTTAAATCTCTGTTCATTTTATTGCAAGCAGTGAATAGCTCCTGACGAGATACACCGTGATAAACGAATATCATGGATTACGAGCTATGTGGGCGTAAAGAACTCTATAAATAGTTCCCCGTGTGTAAATATAACGACATTACTATCCGATATAACAAAAGGTATGTCTAGTGCGCGGTCTGAAGGAAATTCGCTCGTAAGGTCACCGGTGTGTGCTGATGATAAGACTTGTAAACCTTAAAATACATTAATGAATGTAATCCAAGCACTWGGTGGTATTAAATTGATATTTGCGCTGTGTTAAAACACAATATTTAAGGAAAATATCAATAGGCAAYGTAACGACGCMGTTATCTCGAGCAAAGCATGATGGGAGGTGAATCCTCGAACTTGTTTTCTTTTTGTTGTTGTTGTTGTTTTCTAAAAATAATAATAAATTGTATCCCGTATTCCTTCAACTTGGGTCACACGAGAACCCAAAACAACTTGAATTTTTGAAAGAAAACACGCGAAAACTCACTGGTGATTCGACTCCAAGGGGACTACATTATACCGTCATACTTTGTTCGAGCGTCACATGAAGTCTAAAATTACTGCGAAAAAAAACAATATAATATATCAACGTAATTGAGCTTTTTTATTGAAAGACCTGCGAAGGCTATAGTCCCTCAGTTCCACAGAGCTATAAGGGCTAAACGAAATGCGAGGATAAAATCGTAGATAACAAATGAATCTTTTTGTTGTACCTGTAGAATCGTTTTATTTACTCTGTTGGTGTTCAACCATTTTTTATTGAGATAAGCTCGTCATCAGTGAAAGTCGTGAAACTCTTCATAATCATGTGTTGACTGTGTATTCATTGGGACTCCTGTGTACGCCCAATAACACAGGAAACCCAAGAAAAACTTCCACAATTCAATCAATGAAACCAACTTCTTCCAAAGGTTTTGGTAATTCCTTCCTTTGTACCACAGCATATCCACTGAAATATTTTAATAAATTTTCCACATCTTGTTCATTTAGTTTGTAGTGATTTGACAGTTTTTGTTCAGTCCATTCACTGGGGTCATTCAAATGTTTTTCAAAGAGWTCATTTAGATTTTGAGATGAAATTTTTCCCTTTGCTATTTCTGTTGTTAGGAGTGAACTTTGGGAACTTCTTTCTTGAGGAAGTGGCCGTGAAGATGTAGTTTTATCCTGCAGAAAGAAGGAAAACATTTTGAATTGATAATTGCCGTTAAATGCAGTATAAAAGCAAGGCATCTCCTTTGCTAACAATACACTGCTTGAACATCTATTTAGTCAAACTAAAGTTCATTCATTACCATTTTGACATCTGTAGAATCTACTTTGAAGTCTTTCAACGCATTCAAAAACTTTTCATCTTTACTGTCCCTAATTTTGAAGTCCTCGTGAGTTTCTTATGTCAGGAAAAATCAAAGAATGGCATTAGTAACATTAAAATAATTGGCTAAATTATTATTATTAATAATAATATCATCAGTTGGCTGCTTTATACATGACTAATTCCCTTTGTAGCTTGCCCTTCAGGCTGCAATGGAGGCTATTACAAAAACGTTGACAGAGTGAGATTCCTAGCAACTGAACACACATGCCCAATCTTCCTTCACCTTCTACATGGGATTCCTGTGTTAAATTGTCATTCAAAAATATCATTTTTCCCCCCTACGATTACAGAATAATCTGTTACATTCCTTTGTAGATTATCATATCATTCATTAAAAGAATATCATATATTTTGCTCAACTATTTTTCCTTTTTGTCGCTCTGAAAGAAAGAGTAAGCTTACGTAATCTATGTGCGAATATCTGTGCATATAAGTCAAGCTCCACAGCCACAGAAGGCCATTAAAATAAACAAATGTATTTTTTACTCCAGATACAAGTGCTTAAACCTAAACATATAGCAGAGAGAACGCACAAAAAATGGTAAACRTAGCTTAACTACTTCGTCAAAATAGCAAAAMTCTTACCAAGAACCAAGTCTAAAGTAATTTTTWAATTATTTTCACTTACCTGATGTTATTTTTTCGATAGCTTCTCTAGAAGATGGATGCTTAGGTGCACTAATTGGCTTAGATTCCAATATTTTATCAATTCGGCCCTGTGTTTCAATAGGTTTTCTTAAAAACCGACTAAAACGTGAGACCTTGGCGCCCATCTTGGATTTTTTATTCTACTGCGCAGCGCAGCACCGCTGGACCACAGGGAGCCCATTAAAGGGATTTCACTTGTCATTCCGACGAAATATGATACAATATATTGCTGAACAAATTTTATTTAGATCAAGATATTATCATTTTACTTTATTAATTCACACTCAAGTTATTAAATATTTCAATAATTTGAAACTTCCTGATTAAAATTACTTAAATTATAAATATATAAGTTACTAGCATTTTATGCATCTGATTTTGATAATACCTTTCATTTTAGAAAATAGAGAAGTTCATGAGAATTAAAAACAGAATAGAAATTGAATAACAATACATTTATTAACTTATAATTTACGAAAGCCACTCAATTATGTTATATCTATTTCAAGGGTTTTCGGAGCTCATTGACACAGTATGGAGACTCATCGAGCAGGCTAAATGAAATGATTTTGTATATCTTATCAAAACATTTAATCGCTCATCAATGATGTACAATTCTCCTCTTGCTTTATAAAACCCATAGACCGTCTGCTCCTMCKACTSAGTAGGGGTGGGTGTGGAACYATTGGTACAGTCTTTGACCTCGTGGGMGAACTYAGKGCTCTRAATCTATTAGGCGAAACTTTCTTCTTATTTTTGTTTCTTGTTGAACATCTGTTTCTACAAGATATTGGCCGTCTAACGTTGTGTGTTATGCCRTTCARGACWGCGATTTCATTGAGAATTCGTTTATAAGTGGTCATGTCTTTTAAAAAGTAGGGGAACCTCAAACAATCCCGGCGTGCAATGCGTCGAATACGTTTGAGTTCATCGGTGCATATTTTCCCAGCGTAGAAAAGTTTGAAGTCGATTTCGTTGACTTGTCGGAGGATGCGCACTGCACCTGTTCAACAAAGAAGAACAGAATTGTAGATTGAATTAAAACGTTCAGCAAAAGTCTAATAAAGTAGGCCTATAGAATGGTGGWAACTAGCGGTAAACTAGTGTGAGCTGCGTCGGTGTTTCTAAAGAAACAGTTGTGTAAAAAGATAAATCACACATCGTAAAAAAAAATTGGTGATACAGCTTAGTGACGTTTCGGACGTTAATCGTCTTTACTCCGACGAAGGATCAACGTCCGAAACGTCAGTAGGTTGCTTCAAATATTTTTTTACGGTGATAAATTTATCTTTTTACACAACTGTAGGTTTATAGAAACCTAAGAACGAATCTCTATACGACCAATTAGAGCGCGCGTAAGAACGAATCTCTACACGACCAATTAGAGCGCGCGTAAGAACGAATCTCTATACGACCAATTAGAGCGCGCGTAAGAACGAATCTCCGCGTATACAACCATTCAGAGCACATGTAAGAGTCACCTTCAAAGTAGCACTGATCCTGYCCACTGCCACCAATCTCGTTACAGTCAGGTAATAATCGCTTCACTCTCATTACAAGCTTCCATCTCTGCTCCAAATCGCACACGTGCATTCCAAGATGTTCAAAAAGTTCTTTGAAGCCCATCTTCTGTGCCATACAAGCTGTGTCTGTTTTCACATAAAGAGACAGTATATAGTATTATGAATCGATAAAAATCTTTCAGCGAGTGCAAGGTAGATAGCAATTGGGCAGGCAGCCTCAGCCCCTCCAACAGAGCCGCGACGCAGGCTGGTCGCTTAGGGGCGAGACAGCAAGCGTCAATTTAATTAAAACTGGGTAGCTATAGGCAATAGCAATAGTGATCACTTACAATATAAAAGTGCCGGGGCCCATAACATCTTGACATGAGACTGCAATGTAGTGTTAATGGCGGCGAGTCCTTCTTCACAAATCAGACCACAATATGACTTGCTTGGTCGAAGACCAAACTTCTGTCTGTTCGAGAACCACGGCTGCAGACCATCGTTGTTCATTCGCATCTTTGTGGGTTAAGTATGATAATGATGAATCATTAGCCTAGTTCCCAGGCTACTCTCTGTCAACTGTTGCCGGAGATTAGGGTAGCCTGAGAAGAGGCTGATGAAGTACGAAGAAGGACGTTGATGTTTTTTTTGGAATTATGGACAAAAACTTCCTTATAAAATCATAAGTTTTGTTAAATATAAAATAAAATGCAAAACACAGATGGCTGAAACATCAAAAAAAATAAATAAATAAAAACGTGGCATTGCTTAAGGCAAAAATGAACAAAAAAAAAGGACGGCTTTTCTCGTTACCCAGCAACAGCTKCATAAACAAACTGGTGAACTTTTTTGTTTGTTTGTTTTTATAAAAAAAGGATAAAAGAAAACCTTCCATTACACATTTAAACAAGAAAAGAAAGAAAGAAAGTCACAAAAACTAAACCGTGTTATGTAATAAAGTTTCGAGATTGCGTGACAAGTTTCACTCAAGCGGAAGCACAACGAAAGTCAAAAACAGCTCGCGGCAATGTCAAAATACATCTAAAATTTTGATAAATTAGCAAAAACTAATTTCCTTACGTGACGAGAGCTTAAGTTATTAAGTCAGTCTCGATATGTCAAYAAGGGATTAACAATTTTCAGCGCCAAGAAGTTTTATTKACAAAGCTATTGTTTAGCGATCCAAAACACTAATCAATTTATATCACCAGCCATCAACAGTGCATCAAAAAAGGATACAAAATGCGTCCCGATTTCGTGATCTGCCAAACCACGAATCCCACGTTCACGAAGAAAAATRTTATCCTGGGTACGTCTTAAGAAGAGTGTAAATCTTCGAGCTTCGGGTCTATTAAACCTTACATTAGGCCCATGCCAGACCATTCTACCACTACAATTCAAGTCATTCGTCCATACGATATTCAAAAGGCCATCGAGGCCGTGTGCCTTTACATAAGTCACCATAAAATCACTGGCTTCTGAAGCGCTAAGTTTCTTTCCGTAGGATACGTCTAAAAAGTTGTCACCACTGCCATATTGCTGTCTTACGCGCTCCAATATTAGYTTKGCTTCAGGAAGAAGGTCGAAACGAACTGAAGTTTTTTTCTTCTTTGAATAATGCTCTATCGAACCTGTAAATGTGAACTTTGGGATCTTCCCAAAGCGTAGAAAGTTTTCTTTTTGTTCTTCTAGATTTGTTATATGTAAAGCTGTGCGGTGTCGCGTTGGAGTTTCTTGGAGAACCCGAACAGTGGTTTTCTTCAGAGGGTCAAAGATATACCGAAAATGTCTTTCGCTGTCTTCTTCCATGTTTTACCAAAACAAACTCAATTCATTTTTGAGCAACAAATGGGGAATAAAATCACAAATCCAAGCTCATTATGTGGTAACTTTAGTCGTCTACCTATCCACAGCCGTCCAACAAGCTTTCATTTAAAAAATGTACATGTAACGCAAGCGGAACAAACGTTTCCATAACAACGGCTTCGCGCACCACAGGAAACCCGGATATCGAATGTTATAAGAAAATGCATTTCGTTTTAAGTCAACAAAAATATATTTATTTATGCCGTGTGTATATTTAGTACTTAACTTATATGAAATGACAAAATAAGTATCAAAAATCTATTTGGTTCTAACGGGAAAGTACTATTTACATTTAAGAGCAAATTACAAAACTTTTACCTTARAATTAAATCGCGTATCAGAAAAATAGCYTCACAGTCACTTCCACACAATAGATGTTGTGCTTGAATGTCCAGWGAGTTGATTGAAAGTCTATTTCCAGAAAGCAAAGAAAAAGTTTCCATAYGGTGCTTGGTTGCATCTACTGACAGCCAAGGACTGATTATGGATGTCGTGGTATCTAGACCATTAGTCATACCTACTGGTCTGAAGGATTGGTTAGATCCAAGGGACGTTCCTGACATTGATGTCCCGTCCCATTGCCATATGGTGCCATCTTCAGAGCATGTGAAAATGTGATCTGGTTTTTGAGGGTGGAACTTGACTTCCCACACTAGAATTNGAGATGAGAGGAATGGAAATAGGATGAAATAACATGCGCATCGAGAAATGAAAACACAAATGGGATTCTTACTTATCACATTTTGTTTGCTTGTATCAGGATTAGTTCTTGAGCTTCCACTACTGTCTCTGTAATCCCCATTAGCTTTGAACTTCCCTCCGTATTTCTCCATGGAGCGATCATCCCCAACTTCCTTCGGGAGTTTAACTGACATTTTAAAAATGTGCTTATCCTCTTTAAATCGGTGTATGCATTGTTTCTTTTCCTTCTCCAGGAGGTCCATTTTTTGCTCGTGTTTGTAGTTTTCAAGGCGAAAAGCCGTTAGATTGCTAACTGGTGATGAATGCATTGTCCCTGTTGCTGTCCTAGTTGATGGATGTGTCTGTTTTGTAGCGATTCTGTATAATACAAGACGCTCATCTCTAGTACCGCGCAGTTTTCTCGACGGGCTGAGCACATCTCCCGCCGCCATGACAGCTTAGATGAGCGTTCACTCTAATCGTTTATGACGTCAGACGCGCGTTTTAACCGCGCGTACTAATCGCGAAACAAACAGTTCACATTCTGAAATTTTATTTTGCTCAAAGTCAAGCTTATGATAACTTTATTCAAAAACAGAGCTTATCTTTTGAGTGAAAAAGACAAAATGTTGTAAATAACTAAGTTTGTTTTGGGAATTTTGAGGACAAGCGCGAGCAAAACTACTAATAACTGATGCCGTTTGCACCGTTAGATCACCAGATAAACCATCATTCAGTTGGATACCTTTATCCATCATTCAAGGTCCTAGCCTGCGTTCAAACCATTCTGTTTAAGACTTCATTTCTTTCACTGTATGGTGTGTGCGAAGGCTTTAAGACCCTGGAGTAAAATCAACGAGAAAGAGACTTCTTCCAGGTAAGATGTATGGTGTGTGCGAAGGCTATCAGACCTTGGAGTAAAATCAACGAGAAAGAGACTTCTTCCAGGTAAGATGATGGTTTAATTTCTTACTTTTATTTCAATTTACATCATTTTTGCCTTCTCTGCGAGTCGCCTGTCTCTCTCCTCAGCAATACTGAGTCTAATTCCTTTGCCCTTTGGTAAAGATACGTATGGTTTGTTACCCTTCCCAATAATGAACACGTTCGTCAGACGTGTAGCAAACTGATGACCTGTTGCATCTTTGATGTGGACAATGTCAAAGGATCCTAAAAAATAATGCACTTTTCATTGAGTTTGCAAATTATACAATACAAATTATAGAAAATTATACAATACAGTTGGGAAACACCCCTGGAGGAATTCATTGATAACCAACAGCTAAAATGGTTCTTGCATACAGTACGCTCATCAAATATAAGATACATGAAGAAATTAACATTCACAGAAGGGAAAAGGAAAAGAAAAGATCAACCTATGAAGACTTTTTTACGATCTATATACAAACGATTGAACGATCATGACCAAAATCAAATACTGAACATCATTCAAGTAAAATGACTGCTAAATATCTCTCGAGCAGGGATAGGCAAACAGTTAATTGCATATTTTCGAGAAAATTGCAGTTATGCTGCTCAATGACATCCCTACTAACCTTGATGTCGTTCACGATGGGTTACCATGCCAACACGTCCCATGTTACGACCACCAACAATCATTGCCATGTTACCAGTGTCAAATTTGATGAAATCAATCACCTTGCCAGTCTTGATATCCACAACGACAGTATCATTGACCGTGATCAGGGGGTCTGGATACCTGATGGTGCGAGCATCGTGGGTCACAAGGTATGGGACACCTTTGGGTCCAATATCTACTCGTCTGACACGTCCAAGCTTGTACTAAGGAGATATATGGAGTGGTTTTTAGGAATAATGCAGTAGAGGGAACACACTTAATCCATGATGGCATTAAATTTTGCTAATTCCTTTGTTGCGAGTGGTTCTCTTGCTTTTCTAGTGCTTTTCAATTCCAACTGTGTTTATATCAGAGGACAGAGACACAAGCGGCCATTTTATAGTTCTTTCTTTTATAATATTTTTTCTGCATATTTTGAGTGAAAAACAAATTTTTATTGGTAAGCCGTGTCTTTGTCCTCTGATACTATCAGAGCACGCCTTATACACCTACTTGCAGAAACGTTGTCATAGAAAATAGAACATTTGAATTTAGTAAAAAGGAATAAATTAAAACAAGACAAAAGAAAGCGTTCAACCTCCGTGATTTTCCTTTGTATTTTTAATTCATTCCTTTTTACTAAATACAAATGTCCTATTTTTTATGACAATGTTTTAGCAAGTAGGTGTATATCAAAAATTTTATAATGTCTAATCAAAGCTATTAGTAGTAATTAGTACTATTTGTTTCACGGATTAAGGGCATCTACTCTGATGTACATCATATGAACATTGTCATACAAAGTAGACATTTGTAGAACTATTCATGAAACTCACCTTAGCTTCTTCACCGGTGATTCTGTGGACAGTAAAGCGTCCCTTGACGTCATAGAGAAGACGGAAACTTTCACCGGTTTTCTCGATGGTGATGACATCTGAATACAAACATACACAATGCAGGATTTAATATAAAAGAAGACATTATTGGCACACTGCATTGCTTTATTTTGGCTCAATAACAACACTACTGACAAACACACTGGTTTGAAAATATGCCAACCACAAACCATGCTGCTTTGTTCAAACTTAAGAAATGTTGTTTTTTGTGTGTGTGTGTGTGAAATTCACCATCATAGTGCACTTTGGTCTAGCATGAGTAGAAACACCTTTGTCTACGATGTTTGCACCCATTCTAGACCACAATGCAATAGACTAGTTTACTGCTAGTCTCAACCAGAATGCAGTGCACTATGCTATTTAAGAGAAGGCTAATAAACTGGGGCTATACACCCTTTTAAAAAGTCCCGAGGTATTGTTTTTTCTCCGCACTTGACRTCAAATTTATTCTTTTGAAATTTTTGCAATACAAAAGGAATTCAAAAGAATMAATTTGACGTCAAGTGCGGAGAACGTAATACCTCGGGACTTATTAAAAGGGTGTATAATTAACATATCATTAACTTAGTCCCTACCCATAAATCCAGCAGGGTAGGTAGTGTCGGTTCTAACTTTGCCATCAATCTTGATTAGTCGTTGCTTGACAATCTTTTTGACCTCTTCACCATTCAAAGCATACTTGAGGCGATTACGGAGGAAGACGACAAGGGGAAGAGATTCACGCAACTTGTGGGGACCTTGTGATGGACGTGGTGCCTGTTAATAACAGGAAAAAAGCGAAATAGTTAACACAAATGTAACATTCCCATCAACATGTGAATATCTGCATATTACAAGATGCAGTATGTAAATAAATACAAAAAATAACAGATAACAGCAATATCCCTGAAGACAGTAATCAAGGAATTAAACGCAAAGATATTTTGATTAAATTTGAAATCATTTTTATCTGATTAACATCGAACGTGAATGAATTTCTTAAATAGCATCATACTAAATGCATAAACTATATCATTCTGAAGAAATCTGCAGTTTTTAAAATAATATTGAATGAAAAATAGAAAATACATACAGCCAGCATAAGCTATATTAAGCAGAGTTTTACAGAAGGAAATGAATAACTACTCTTCGATCTTTTATGAGATAGAATTTAGCACAAAAATCGAGATCGATGAAGACTTGAGCTGTAATATCTTGTTCAGATTTATCGATAATAATATTACGATTGCAAAATCCAAACAAATTTCAAAAACGTTCTTATTTCTGATTTACTATCGTACGTCTTTAAACACCAAAAACGTTCGTAATAATTTATTTTTTATTTAAAAAACATTGCAACTTACAAATCGTCCAGACAATTTATCCAACATCCAATGCTTGGGAGCATTGATACGCTTTAGGTGCTTCTTCGGGCCACGAGCCTAAAAATTACAACAGCGATGTATAGTTTAATGATTAATCTTTCCTCGGTTGTAATAATTTGGGTTGAAAGTCAAAGGGTTTTTCATAGATGAGTTGGATTGTATGTGATATATTTCTTTACTAACCATGATGGCGACAAGAAGGAAAGAGGGCCTTCCCGTCGTCCACCGCCGGTATGAGTATTTTTGTACCCATAATGCTATGTGATCGTATATCAAAAGGCAAAGGAAGCCCAAAATATTTCATATTCCATATACGACTGAAATTGCAAATAAGTAAGTTTTTCCACATACTTTTTTACGGTGTTAAATTTATCTTTTCACATAACTGTTTCTTTAGAAACACCGACGCAGTTCACACTAGTTTACCGCTAGTTCCCACCATTGAAATTGCAAATGACATGTTTTCAATGTTTATCAATAAAATAATAATAATAGTGGTTATAATAGTTAGATTATGAATATTAATTAGCAAAACATTATTATCATGAATATGATGTAGCGATGCTAATCAAAGCGGTGGTTATGCGGCAGATGAAATCATAGATTCCCCAACTGATAGCGGCTCTGAAATAGATTGTATTCCATTTTATACGGAATTTTATATCCGCTAAATGAAGTCTGGATTTCCCCTATAAGTAGGCGAAAACTAGAGATATCAGAAGGAAGCGGCGAAGGGTGATGAAACTGCAAGGATGTCGCCGTGCCTTCCGCCGTTTTGCTTCGTTCAGCGCTTGCGCGCTTCCTCTTCTATATTTCCTCTTATAAATGTGAAAACCAGACTTAYATAGTTTTGTTATGCACAACTCTTCCTTTCTAAAACCGCTAGCCCCAGTATTTTCAGTTGTCAACCAACACTGATGAATAAAACATCAGTTATTGAATCAAGTCTATCATGCGTCGCCAGGTCTATACCGAGTTCTCTTCCWGTGTGCATGCGTAGTGAGAAATGTCAGATATGCGCACGTGATGTTTGTCTGAACTGCGCATGTACAAACGTTGCTCGTCCGGTGTTCAYAGTACCTGTTTAAAATCAAAGTTCTCGTCAACCTTCCACTGTTACTGTCAAGTGTCCAGGAAACAATTTTATCAATTTAAATAATTTTCAACTGTAAAGTGCATTGGCAKAATTGTTTTTCAAATTGCTTTAGAACATAATAACTACTTCCCAGTGTCAAAATTTGCGGTTSGGGAGGTCGAAAGGATCTCAGCAATTACGCTACTGTAAATTGCCCTCAATTATTTGAAGAAACTGTGTTTAATTAGCCACGTAGTTCAAACTAAATGCTTCGCTTTGGCCTCGCAAACAACTTTTCATCACAACTGAAAAGACAGCTTCTTAGAGCATGTATTAGTCAAGTAGTTTGTGTGTGATCTGTAAATCGTAGTTAGCAGCCCAAAGGAGGGCTTCCACTGATTGAAAGTACTTCAAAGTGAATGAAAGAACGACGTTGTAGCTTCGTGTTGGTTGTTATGCCTTATATAAAAGTTGTCTTGCACTAATTACAGCTGACAAGAAATTGGCCAATGTAGTGTGCGGGATAGATCAGCTAATTTCAAAATACACAGTTAATACGGCACCGTACATACGAAAAGTGCCTGTTTCATATATAGATTAATATTCAAGCAGCGAAGTATTCCATGAAGTGTAATTTTGATAATATTTTGAACTCTATAAGTTTGATTTCTTTCGAGTATTAACTATGATTACAATGATTGAAGGCTCCTTGCTCAGGATTACATCTCCAGTTGATGTAATCTACACTTTTGAAATGCGCGCCAACTTTGTACGATTTAAAAACAACAGCTAGTGAAAATACCATGTTAGGTATATCGTGGAGAGCCAATTTTGCACTTACATTGAGTTTATACATGTRGTTATTCAAATCCTTTTCTCTTACTTTCCGCTCATTTTCTTTCTCTTTTCATTTCAATTCCTTTCACATGCATTTGACTTTAACCTAGAGCTAGTAATTTTGATATCAGGGTTTCAAAAGAAAGAGTCTTGCATACACACTTAGTGGAATTCAAGCCCAGTGCAACAAGAAGTCAACGAATGGCCTACAGAACGTACAGTTTGGTTTGCGTGCAATTGACACGTGGGTCCTGTATCATTGCCCATCTGAACAGCAAAGACCTATTAGTAGCTGGCACGCGTCCGTGAAAGCTTAAGCGATGTTATCTTGATGTAATCGTCAACTTTTATTGATTCTTGGTACGCTAATGAAGAAGAGACAATATGGCGTGCTGAAAAGAGATAAGATACAAAGATACGTGTCCAAATGTCAACAACAATTATAGTTTGGTTCGCCTTTTTATAGCATTTAGTCTTTACAAGTATTTTGATACTTTGGTCTGGGGTTGGTCTTAAATTACGTACATCTTCGGCTCGTCTGGTCGAGCGTTTTGTAATCGTCAGCGAAATTTCGGAAAAAAATGCAAACGCATTTGTGTGGACAGATCTATGAAAAGTATTATAATTTTATGATTGTATCGATATTGTTATTACTATTGACAGCCAAATATACTTATTTTTTTTCTTTTGGTATCACGCGATATGGTYGCCATATTGAATTATATTGAACTTTGTGGTGCAAATGTTACAAAAATATTCATAATGAACACTTATGCTCCCTTTATATTCAACTTCCAAATGTACTTTAATTACATTGATAGTATAAAAAGGCAATCATAGTGTTCCCGTAGCCGTGTAGTCTATAAAATTCACGATAAGTGCAGGCAGCCTGTGCATGTCATAGTCTCTTTCACAAACTACAAGAGAATTCAAGATGGCGGCCATATTGGTAACTAGGATTTTTGCTCTCGTAATGCGATTAACGAATCTCATAATTGTCATATTGTTTATTAAAAAACTAAAACATTAACTGGTAAAAAACTAAGCCTTTTCATCCTAACACTAACATAATATCCACAAAGATGTATATGTATCAGTCACTTCTAAATTCGCAACCATCGGTTAATACGGCTTTCAATGACGTCAGAGTGTGACCTAAAAAAGAAACAAAAGGACACTTTAAACTAGTTTCAACAAAAGTGTTAATATCCATTGATTGTAATCGGCTGTCTTTTGTGAGTTAGAGTCTTTGTCGTGCTCATATCGCAGTTMCAAATAATCCCATGCGGGTTTCTTTGTTTGTTTACCGTCCATACCATGTTACATTCCCCTCAGGAAGAAGGGTCGCCTTAGGAACCTCCTATATCAATTGTAGCAGCCTTACGCCCTTTATCTTTCTCTCTCTCTTTGTCTCTGCTGTGTTCTTCCCCTAATTAGAACTAGCTGTTTTAGCAAGGGTTTAAAAGTGGCCAATGATACGATCTCCGCTAGCTGATCACAAGTTACAGTAGTAAAAGTGGCCATTGAAGCACGACTTGACTGAGAGACAAAAAGACAAAAGCGTTAGTCTTTTCACTACACAAAATACACTGTCAAACTCTTAAATTTACCCAATCATTCAAGCAAGCTGCTTTCGAACCGAATAAAACTTTTAAAAAAACATGAGAAATTCCAGAAAGGATAATTCTACAGAGACAAAAAAACAGGTCTTTTTAAAAGAACACGGCTATTTCTTCAATAATTAAATTTGACAAGAGAGGAATGCTTTTCAAAAATATAATATAAAACTCCATTTATATTTGTTTTTGATTTTGTTTTTTTTTTGTTTTTAAGCTGCAAAAGGATATAGCCAAGTTTCATTCGATTAAATCAAGAAACTCTACCAGTATGTTTCAAAGTATTATAATCTGAGGAACAATTTAATTAGCGTGCTTTTGAGGGAACGTCTAGTTATTTTTCTATATTGAGCTTCAGCTKTAATCCTGTTATGAAAACATTCAATAAACAGTTCACATGCATTTATGTAAGGCATTTGTTAATTTGGACCTTTTTTAGATAGTTTGCCGCAAAAAAACATGTACTTATGCATATCATTGATAGAAAATGACAGAATTTTTAGTAAGGACTACAGAAGAGCTTGCGTATGGTGTTATGGTTCATATGGTTGATCTGTAAAACTCATTTYAAACGTATAGCATAGCAATGTTGTGTTACACGGATCACAGGTGTTTTTCTGTACTTCATAGATGGATTTTGTGCGATATCGGATGAAACAAAACACCTCTAATCAAGACCCAAGGCAAGTGTGCTTGACAATTTAGTCTACTCCATGCATGTGGCTTTGTTTTTTGTTTTGTACTTGCTTCCGCTCTGTCTCTGCTTTGAAAGTCGCCTTTTAACGTTTGAAAATCAAAGGAATTGATGAAGAAGAGACGAGATATCATGTGCAGGTAGACTTACAGACGACAGGCATCATTGAGCTGTTGCTCGGAGTAAATTGGATGATGGAAGAAGTTCAAAGCTGTGTTTTATAACAGAGATGTGCGGTTTAAAATTGAGATATTATCATTGTATTTTAACTTATATTATTATACTTGTTGTTAGGAAGCTTCATGATGACAAACATTGTCAATAAAGTCAATGRTATATATCTATTTCTGTTCAGGGGGGATCCAGCTGACCTTCACATTAAGGTCAGCTGGTATTTCCTCTGTGGAGACATCTGTTGCGCGCATCCCCCATTCCTTGAATGCAAAATTCTCTTCACTGATATCTGAAGGGCATTCTGGATTCACCTGYKATCCAACTTGTGATCCATCATGCATTCCTTCCTGATTTGATCATCATCATCATCATTATCATCATCATCATTGTTAGTGTTGTCATCAGCATCGTCACTAAGTAATATGCATCAGCGATATCATCAACAGGTAGACCAGGTATAATAAATTGGTGTAGGTAGGTATATGTAGGTGTAGTTAGGTATATGTAGGAGTAGGTAGGTATATGTAGGTGTAGGTAGGTATATGTAGGTGTAGGTAGGTATATGTAGGTGTAGGTAGGTATATGTAGGTGTAGGTAGGTATATGTAGGTGTAGGTAGGTATATGTAGGTGTAGTTAGGTTGGATATAGTTAGAGTTATAGGGTGGGTACTGGGTAAGTTGGTATATCATAGGTTTAGATAATGATATATAAGGAGGTTAGATAGGTACATTTATAGGGTAAGTAGGTATAGTTATAGAGTAGGTAGGTATAGTTACAGGGTAGGTAGGTATATTTATAGGGTAGATATAGGTATAGTTATAGAGTAGGTACATTTATAGGGTAAGTAGGTAAAGGTTAAGTGTAGCGTTTTGAAAACATCATGATTATATCACCAGCACAGTACTATCAAAAATAATCTCAAATAATGTTGAATGGTGCTTTCTCTATGCTATTAAATAAATGGTCGGAAACCGTTTAACAAGTTAGCTTCACTCACYCAGTACTTCCTGTACTGACAGCTCACGAAWAGTCAGTCAATACCAAACAGAGTTTTAAACTTTGTTATCATAATAATTTCTCAAGAATGCTCTAGAATCGCGATAGTATGAATGGTTTGTTTGCCTATTTTGATAGAGAACCAAGAACAGGTTGAAAAACGCCAATTTGTTATGAATTATTTATGGCGTGTGACACTTGGGTGTACATTTAGTGATATTAGTGACAATACCAGCATGTTGTAAAGACCTAGTGAGATCTTGCTTATGTCTGAAGTAAGAAAACCAAGGTTGCACGCTGGCAGTAGAGTCATGCTGGCAGAAACAACGCAGTCTTTAATGGCACTCGTTTTTACCATGATGAAAATTGTAAACATCGAAATATAACTGAAATAAAAGACATTTCTGTGCGCAAATTGAGGAATTTCGTTTCTTTGAACGGCTGAAATCTTAAGAATAATAAAGACTGTGTGGAACTTGAAGTACCTGCTAGGAATCGTATTATAATTATTGCTATAATGAGCCGACGTGGCAGCCAGCATTTCTAAAACTGGTGTTTACGCGAACTCAATCGGCGATGAAAAAACACTAAATGCGCTCTAAAAGAAACTGACAAAGCTCTTAATTAAGTCTTTTTAACGCCAAAAAGGCATAGATTTTAATAAAAAGGAATAGAAAATTTAATAACAAGCTAAGACTAAACGCAAAAATTCAAAAAAAGAAAAAAAAAGAGCAAACTAACACAAAAGCGAAGTTTATATTCCGCGAGAGGGTAATTTCTTTGTTAGAAAGCGCGCCAATTATTATTTTTTTCAGGCGACTTTAAAGTATTTATGTTTGTATGCCTTGCACTGTCCCTGTAGCCCTAATATTTACTGTTCTCGGTAATGAAAGCTTTTGAGAATGCCGATAGGCACTCGCGACTTGACATACCTAATCCCCTTATTCAACTTTATGTGCTAGAAGTTATTGGCCAAGTTTTAAAATTAGGACTCATAATCCTAGGCTTTATGTTGAACTAACTCTAAAAGACTATCTGTTCTGTAGTGTAGCTTGAATTTGTGAGCTTTTTTGGTTTAGTTTAAGTGTAAACAGCCATGAGAGATAGGCAGATGTAGTCAATTTATTACAGATTGCAAAACATGGACTCAAACATCTAACTGTTTTTAGCGCGATGGGGGTTTTTCCCTCACAGATTAGAACCGACAAAACTAAAGTCTCCACTGTTCATTTTGGAATATGACGAAACATTTCAGGCAGTTTTATAAAGATAATAATCTTTCAAGTCCATTTCATTGGCCGTATTTCATTTTAACTTGTAATTTCATTTTGGGAAATAATTTTTTGCGGTTGTTTTCACGATTAAAAGAGTGATGAGAGCTAAGTTACGAGTCATTCCTAGTAACAACAACATTGGACACAATAATGTCAAATACTAAARATTTAAAGAAAAATAATCATCTTTATAAAAAGAAAAAGAAACATTGATTTCCAAAACACATAATATTATATTCAATTTTTTAAAATTTTTGAACGTTTCGCTCTGTTCAGGGCACACTGCCAAACCGGCTCAATTTTTCAACTTCCAACGAAAAAACTCACTTCAATYCGCTATTCTCACTTTCATTAAAGTTTTCCCATAAGTAATTTTAGYTCCTGACGGCACAAAAAGAATTTGAGCGATAGAAAAAATTGTTCTTATGGACAACGCCAATTGACGGCAGGTATTTTACTGAAGTCCCCCCTACGTTAAAGATAACGTGTACTCCTGACTCCCTCCTTGACTCCTCTTGGGCTAGGAACCTTTTTCTTTTTTACAAAGACTGCGCTGAAAAGCGCCTTCCTACCTTGCCGRTCTTCCTATGAATAATTCCAGCCATCTATTTTCGCATATGTTTAACTCGTCYCTGACTATATTAAAGCTTACCGGCTGACTCCGAAAACATCCTATATACAAGCAAAGAAGTTCAAGGAAAGTCGTCCAAAGTCTGGCCTATGTAAGGAATAATTTCTCGAATAAACCTTATCTTGCCCGCCAACTTATCATGTAGTTAAACAGGTCTTTTCTCGGTGTATTTATGTACCTAGATCTATGTATATGTATAGAATGCAAATGGCAAAAAGTTGAATTGCTAAACACTGGTTCTTGGGCTGTGTATGACAAAACTGAACGCATTGTGTTGGTGAACCGTCGCAAAGTCCACATCAAAGTTTTCTCGCTAAAAATGTTTTTCATTTTCGACGCAAAACGCTTAATTGAACGACTGGGATAGTTTATCGTGGAGTTTTGAAAGAAATATCGATGGGAGAACAGTGTTTTCAACAACAGCCATACAAGTAAGTCAACCGATTTGATTCAGGATCCTCTCAAAGCTCCCTCCAAAAACAACGCCTATTTTAGCTTTTTATTAATCCAAAACAACTCCAATTCGTAAWCTTGTGTCAAAAGAACTTTTTCAATTCGAAAAAGCTCGGMAATTGTGTATTTTTGACGAGTTTTTAGTGTTTTTGCATTCCGCTTTCGATCCTCAGAACGGCGCTTTTATGAAACAATGAAGCGAAACGACGCGACTCTTAGAATTCATTGYCAGCTTCATCGCAKAGAAAATCGACTTTCGCTGTTCATACGGACTTAACACCATCACCACACTCCTGACACAACCTTTAACTAGGATATGATCACTCCAGAAGTATTACAATATTCTCAAATACATTTTCTATATTGACAACAAAAACAAATATCTTTTCGTTCTGGGAGCTTCGAATTTCCGCTCCTCAAAATTTATTCAAAGGATTTTTCATATTGTTTAGAGGTCTAAGATTTAGCTTTCGAACTTCAGTGTTAATTCCGTGTATTATAAAGCCAAGATATCTAGAATAGTTTTCTAAATATGATCGTTGAAGCGAGTAGCAAGAGTACACAAAGAAAACCTCATTAACAGCCGAGTTATTCACGCACAGGCCGCATGCTCCATTGCATTTGAATGGCTTCCCGAACTCATTCAAATGTTTCTCTCAGATTTTTTTTACGCAAAACAAACGCCAAGAATATAAACTTTAAGGGAAAAGTTAAACTTTCAAGAGTTCGAGGCAATTTAGTAATTACCATGTCCCAAAAAGATTCAATTTTTTTTGCAAAATGGCTTCAACTTGAAATCATTTCATACCGAGAGCGATGTTTTTGACTGGTTTCTCCATATCTGTCGTCTTTAGGAACCTTTTAAATAGTTGAGAATCAAAAAAGGAAGTTATTTGAGACGTAAGCTTTTATTTTACGACTCAAGGGCGATTTTAAAAGATAAAATTTTCAGGAAATCCGCGTACGCTATTTTCTATTGGATTTGGTGTCTTTGTGTAGATGACCTTGCCTGGAGGTTTTCTTCGAGAAAAACACTATTCACTATGTAAATGTAAACACCATTCCTTTCTTTGTATAAACTAAGTTCCATATCTCCAAACGGATATTAAAACAAAAGAGCAAAAATATTCACAATCAGTCAATATAGAGAAATGCAAATAATATCAAGGCATGGAATTTTGACTGGAAGTTTATAAACTGACAGCTAGGCTAGGCTTCGACCCTAATCTCGACGTATGTTTTTCAGTCTTTGCATTCGTTGACACTCAATAAGTTCCACTTGCTCTGATCTTATTTAATAATGTGTTGAAAAGCGAAAGCGTTTAGTAAAATCCGTCAACTATCTGCTCTATCTGTCAACTACTACTTTACACACGGCGACCACCCAGCTAGCTTCCCTCGTTCACTTCGAGTTTCTGCAAACAAGTATTGAGATGGCCTCCCATTACGGACAAGTTAACCCGCCATTAGACTGAACAATGAGTTTCGTTGTAGTCCAAAACGTATTGTATTTTCGTGATGCAATTTTCAAAACACTTCACAATCATTTGAATTGTGGTAATGAGATTTAAAAGCGTCCAAAGAAGAGTAGCCAATCAGAAAGCGTCTAACACTTATCATTAGCATATTCTTGTCGAAGGAACGTTGCTATTAGCGACTAAATGTCCCGTGAAAATTCCACCAATCAGATGTCAGGTGGTTCTCCTTCATGATTAATTAAGTAATAATAGTATGTCAGTCAAGGAGAAATTGACCAATAGGATGACAGAACCTATCACCTCTACAACACGTTACTTGGGCTGGCGGCAAAATAGCCAAGCTCTCTCTTGTACACGGTTAGTGAGAAGTCAGTATGGCATCCCAAGCGAATTACACGACTGGCACTATCGCTACAACGCAGAGTGAACTCAGAACTCAATCTCAACCTACGACGATGGCTTATCGCGAAGAGCAACCTGTAGTCAAGTATGAAAATATCACTCAACAAGCACCGAACTCCGAGCAACAAAGAGTTACAAATCTAACAAACCATCAATGGGTTGTGCAGGACCACACCGGAGCCATCGGTTGGCCACCAAACACGGTTAGTGTACATCAAGAAGTCAAACCATTGATACGCGAAGATGGATCTCCAGTAGTTATAACTACCGCTACAACTGGTGCAACACTCGTTCATCATCGTCCGGGTCATCCAGGTATGATGGAACAGGTCCGTTGGTCGACGCCGAACGCTGGATCGCCGGACCATACGCGAATTCACATCAACGCTGCTTTACAACCAAACACCGCTGTATCGGTCTACCAGAATGTAAATGGAACACTAACAATGCCGGCCAACTATACTCCAACGAACCAGACGATCAGAGAAAGCCCCGTCATGCAAGATCCACAAATCCAGGGACATCATGATATGTTAGATGGAGACGAAGAAACACCAACCTCTGACGACTTGGAGCAGTTCGCTAAACAGTTCAAACAGAGACGAATCAAGCTCGGGTTTACACAGGCCGACGTTGGACTAGCTCTTGGCACGCTGTATGGGAATGTATTTAGTCAGACGACAATCTGTCGATTTGAGGCATTGCAGCTAAGTTTTAAAAATATGTGCAAACTAAAACCACTGCTACAGAAATGGCTAGAGGAGGCCGACAACAACAATGGGTCCAGTGGTGCACTGGATAAAATGGCAACCAATGCCCGCAAGAGAAAAAAGAGAACGTCGATCGAGGTTGCAGTAAAGGGAGCCTTAGAAAACCACTTCTGTAAAAACGCCAAACCATCCGCCCAAGAGATAACACACTTAGCTGATAACCTAGGGCTCGACAAGGAAGTCGTCAGAGTGTGGTTTTGCAATAGAAGGCAGAAGGAAAAAAGGATGACAGCTACAGTAACAACTAACGAAGAAGACGAAGGAGTTTTACATCAACCGACTGTAGTAAGTGTCACTTCAATGGCGACTGCCAGCCAGTAAATTTCAAATCATCGTGCAGTACTTGAGGCCATTCTCAAAGACCTAAGTCTATTCAGGACAAAAATGATGCTGCATTAACAGCTGATCATCGCGAACATGGAACATTGTATATCTAAATACGTCCAATTTAGCGTGAGAAAGATTTTCTAGCATATAAACTCTGAAACTATTTATGAAGTCAGTTCAATACAGTGAGAATTGTGTTCCTATAAGTCAACCGAATAATCAGAGTACCATTTGAAGAGTCATTCGCTTCAAAACTATCTGTTTTCCATTGTAAATAGTATACTCCACATTTAGTTTGAATTCATTATGTCCAAATCGAGTATTAGATAATGTAGTAATCTTTCTTTCAAAATCAAGGCGAAAAACTATAGATTTCATTATATATTTTCTTAGAATCTCGGTACACGAGTGTGGGTACGAGCTATTTCAGTTCGATTCCATTCGTGTATTAAAGTTAACTCTGAATTAACTGCTTATATCAATAAGCACAGAAATATTTTCATTTTCTTATCATATTCTTCAAAAAGACATACTTTTATAACTAGATTCTGTAAATTGTTGATCTACACCTGTAGCCTGTGATTAAAATCATCGTATTTCATGGACGAACTCAAGTTGTATGCTGTTTTGCTGGACATCATACTTACATAGTAGCCCGTTCAATGAGATTGATTTATCATTCCTATATACTTGCTAAACCCGTCCAAGTAGTGGACATATTCTCCTACCATGACATGGTGAAATATACTGAACGAGTTTTTTATTTCATTTTTTAGTGGTTCAAACTGTAAAAGGATGTTCTAGGTTTTGGCTGCTTGATGAATCGCCGCAAGAATGGCCAAATTCATCCTTGATGTATGCAAATCGAGTCGGTTTTCTAATTCAAATTCGTCCATATATTAAAATCTAGTGTTTTCAAATCGAGAAAGCCACTTCTACGTTGTTTAGGGTAGCAAGAATATCAGTTCGACGGGGAAGATTCTTAAGGTATTTTCAACAACCAAGCGTGCTCAAGCGCTGGGTTGACTCCCTTAAGCATGTGTTTGCCTCAATTCCGAAATAATTTCATTGAAATATTAGAAAATTAGACCATGTTTTCATTCATGAATTCCGCAGTAAGTCGATACATTGAACAGGGATCAATCATTTCACTGCTAGCATTGAAATGGCTTTTTGTTCAACATTGAAATGGGTTCCAATATGCTTGTATTTTTCGTTACAGTCGAAAAGCTTCGACCACGTTGTCTCTAGTTACTCTATATCCCGATTACTGCTTGACCAACTGTGTTCAATGTGTTTAGAGGCTGTGTAGTGTTTTGCAAAAAGGCCAAAAGAGGCACGCAAGATATACAAGTTATATTTGAGTTCGGATTAAAGGAAGAAAAAACACCAGACCTTATGGATTTTATTGTGTTTTTAAGCTTAGTCATTTCTCGACTGATTGTCTCCTAGTAGTGTAAGCCAGGTGTGCTGAAAAGGCACTAAGGATGAAATTTCACATAAAACTCACAACCAATACACGGTGTAAAATAACCTGTAATTCCTAAAGTATGATTAAAAATTACTTTTGTGCCTAAATGCGCAAAACTCGGGATGGATTAGGCGCTGTATGCAAAGCATAGTTGAAAACAGCGTCGGTTCTTCCTACACTTCGTGTAGCTTTATGACAAAAGAAAATTGTCAGTTACCCTTGTGCATTCTTGCTCGAGTAGTAGTTAGTTCTATATAATGATATTCCTTCGCAGATATTTCCATAATTCTAAGAATACATTAGTTATAATAAATACAAGAAAAAAGAGTGAAAAGCACACGCTACAAGATGAACCTGCTTCGATTCCACAAGCAAACAAGACTTGCTTTCGGTATAACACAGCTCTCAAAATATCCTGATAAATGTCTTAAAATTACCTCTTCTGCTTTTCACTGTCGAGGTAATTTGAATATGCTTTTTATTGTTTTCATTTGAAGGGCAGACTTATTGAAGTTTTAGTTTCAACATTTGTGGAAGATAACATTCGCCTCAAAGCAAGGACAAACCATGCTCAGTGTACTCGAGCAAACATGCTTCATCGTGTTTCATTTTGAGTTTTTTTACGAAGATAACTTAACCGCACTGAACGTTGCAACGACTTTTGACCAATCTATTCAACAAGTCGAATCCCTGGAATATTTTTGAATGTATTTGCAATAATTTAAATGAAGAATCTCGCGCGAACCGTTCGTCTTGTCGTGAATTGAGACTACCGCCATTATTTATTTTCATGCGAAGCATTTGTTGTCTCAACCGCAAAATTCGGGTTTAATTTCTCGTTTTTTCGCATGCAATTCTGTCCAGAGCGTTTCTTCATGTAATTCGGTTTATGCTAATAAATGAATATGTTAGCTCTGGCCGTGTTAACATATTTATAACTTGAAAGAATATTTTGACTTCGGTAGCTAATTTCTTTGAAAGACCCTTACAAATATTATCAATGGTGAAAATAGAGCTTTTTCTAAATTGGCTGTTCCTTAATCAGGTAAATTTAAGCCCAAATCGCAGGGAAAACCGCGTTTCCCTACTCTTTCACTATGAATTGTTTACAATAAAAGCAATTCTATTTTAGGCAATCTTGAGAACAAATGATTTCATTGTTCCACGCTTCTCGCTGCTAAGAAATTCGGGAATTTGTGGCTAAAATGCTTTGGTGATTGTTTGCGTCGGCAAAGGAAAGGATTTTGTCGATTGATGTAAAGGAAAATGTTTGAACAATCTATGTGTTGACAGCTTAATAAAGCGTATCTTTAGGGCGTGATGGCCTCTCACACGTGTCTTTATCATTGCACAGTTCTCGATGACACTCTGAAACTCAGCCGATTAAAATTCCGACCCCTGGATTTACGAACTGCCAATTCAAAGCTCACAGCCTCTCTCTTCACCATTTTACCGCCTTTTGTTTGCCCGTGCTTGCAGATAAAAAACATACATTCAAACTCGACCCGACGTAATTGCGAGTGACGAAGTTCACCAATTAGTTTTTACATGAGCTTGAATTATATTAAACTTTGTGACATTTTGTGTAAATTTGTTTTGCGTTTTTCGGCTATATTAAAAGCAGGGTTATTTATTGCGGAAAAATGTGTAGGAAGTTACAGTGTTGTTGAAGCTGACAACATGTCGGCCGCCTTGACTTGTGGTTTTGCGCATGCGCCGCGGGAGTTGTTCGCGCGTTTTGAGACCCTAAATTAGAATTRAAAATGGCCCTACTACTTGAGATTATAAAAGCAAATATCATGTGAAGTAGTGTTTATAGATCGCTATATATAAAACGTAGCTAAAATTGTAAGATTGTTTAGGTATTTTTCATGATATAACATGTATAAAATGCAGAGGCCAATCAAGTAGGACGCGTCTACGTGGAAACACGAAAGGCTGCCAAATGATAAGCCAAATGTTCACCGTAATACCTGAGTTTTTGTTACATAGCTGGCAAAAGCCGCGAAAAACGATTTACTACAAATGAATTTGAATAATACATGAGCAGTGTTTCCACAAAACACGTTTTTCCACCTTGTGAAAAGTAGCTTTTCGCCAACTTCTTGACCTCCAAAACAAAAACTACGCTCTACTGTTGCTACAAAAAAAATCTAAAAGGTGTGAATTAAAGCCTGTAAATGACTAGGTTTTCAAATTAAAAGCAAAAGGAAGCTATCAAGCTGCGTCGTTTCTTTTATTATTATTTTTTCTTTCTGAGTTCCGGTTTCAGCGCGAGCGTATAAGCCATGTCCTTGTACAATCTTCCCCAACTATGTGTACTTGTAATTGATATCCACTATCGACGCAGCGGCAATCCTCAGCCATATTGTTGAATCATAATTACGTCTTGTAATAATTAAAATAGAGAAAATGTACATATTACACTTAGAAAATCCTAGCACTTCGTTTAAAATCCCTTTATAGTTTTCTCGATAAAATTTAAAATGCTCAAAATGCTTTGCTGACATCGTTCAATTCGGATTAATAATTCATTTTTTGGGGTTTTTGCTATGGAATTATTAACAGGGAAGTCAGCTTTGGTCTAGTAACGGTTGCGTTTTGTAAGGGAAGGCTTCATGCTGGTAGCGAAGCTATCCCTTGTTCTTAGTGGATAGTAGTTTAGCGCGAGAGAGTATATATATCGGGAACACTCAAGATCTAAAAGTGTTGATTTGGAGAAGCATCGAGTCTCCTTATTAACACTTGTACTCTTGATAAGATGCCTTTTTTGTGGTCCTTAACAAAACTTTTTATCTTTTAAAGAAACACCCCAATATCTGTAAATAAAACTTAATCATATTTTCCCGTATACATTGCTGTATTTTAGATAGATATTGTTCGTTTTCGGCACGTCTACTGTTTTCTTTTACGTTGAATGCGCACTGAACGCGATGAAAGCAAGATTATAAAACGAAGGATAAATAATAAAAGAGCCTTTTTTTATTCACAAAAATAAAACGTAATTTCAATGGAAGTCGTGTAACCGCAGGACGTCGTAGTGCCTTTTTGTGGCTTTTTTCAAAATATGAAACTCGTCCTGAGACTTGACACCAATTGAAACAAAATTAATAAGAAAACAAGACTTGGCTTCCCATAATATGTTCATCTGTGCTATAAAAAAACTCTATATGATCCTAAACATTCCCCTTGTAAGGACAAAAATTGATAAATTAACGCTTTAGTATAATATTTTGAGTATTTTTTCAAGTTAAATTCAGTTCTAATAAAAAACAAATCCGTTTTAGGCAAAGCTAGATAATTACACTAGGTCTTTATTGGCAATTCGCTTTATAAATACACTCACCTGTGCTATTGTTTAAACTTCTCATATTAAACAAAATTATCAGTACTATACAGTCGCCTCACCTTAGTTGAAATTACTCCTAGAAAAACTTCCGAAAATTAAATTTGGAAAAGTACATAAAAATTAGAATACAGTTGTGAGTTTTAAGCCTATTTTGTCTTTTTTAATCAATATTCCTTTATATCTGATAATAGCACGTGCATGACATATATGAGGCTATATATAAGTTTAAAAAATAGACAATTTGAGTTGAAATGTTTGCGTTTTGTCGCTCTGATCTTTTTGATGCCATAATAGTTGGCTTTTTTTATGAGCATTTTGACGTTGGTGAATTTTCGTCTCAGTTTTCAATTGGCTCTTTGCAATGATCACTTTGTGGCGACCAAATGGACATTTCATAAAGCGACTGCAATTGATAAATTCTACCTGTAAAATTATACAGATCTAATTTTGACAGCATTTAGCGAGACATTTCGGCCATATTAAATTCTAATTGCAAATCGATCCTCCCTCTTTTTGGGCGCTTTTTGGGTTCGACTACAAATGAAATTACAAGTCATTACAGACATATGGGATAACAGCGACTTTAGGGCGACGGAGATAAAGGAATTATGTTTAAAATACTAAAAGAAACGACAAAAAGCTCTTTAATTATCTATATTATTGAGGGGAATAATGTGGCGATCACGAAAGGTTTAAGTAATTCCTGATCACATGAAATAGATGCGATTTAGAAACATGCCAGTGACATGTCGTGAGGACTAAACGTCTTTTAATCTCATAAATGAGCAAATATTTCAGTTTATGATGCAAATATTTGTACTCATTTGATCAGAGTGTGTGAGGTACGATGGATGTATCGCGAACTGACGGTGGTTTAGAAAAAAATACGCGTTCAAAAGAGAAAAAGATTGACAAGAGAAATATAGGAACAAAAATGCAACATTTTATGATTTATAAATGAGATAAAGGCCAATAAAACTTTAGAAAATAGTACTAGAAACGACAAAAATATCAAATGATATCACACCCCAGCGAAACCAAGCAATATATTTGATGTTCAAACACTAGTCGAGTAGGAAATATCACATTTTCCTTTTGTTTACTGCAAAACCGAGTAAAAAAAAAAAAAAAACAATCCCAAAAATAATTAGATCCACAAATGACTTCTATAACTAGAATATCATAACCATTTGCAATGACTTGAAAAAAATACTCAAAAAACTTTCGAAATTGTTTAGAATTTCATCGTTCTTACACAGAAATTATGAAGAGGAATATGTCTTGATCTTAGGATGTTCCGACGAGGACAATATCCTGTTTTCTACGCGTTTTATTCAGATCAGCTCCAAGGCAACCCAAACATGTTATAAGATTGCCAATTATACTCCAAGTACGTACTCAAATCTAATCAGTAGAGGGCTAGCGGGTATTCAAATGAGGACTGATATTGCCATAGTAACGCTGGGGGGTTGGTTGCTGTTGACAACGCATTAAAAAAAAAACACTAAAAAATAAGGAATGGGAAGTTTTGTAATAAAAAGTGCTTTCTATACGGTTTTTTAGTGTCCTATATCGCCGAGGATATTACTTAATTATACAATTCATAAGAAATAGAAAACGTAAAAATGCTTTTAAAAGATCCAAATTATTATATTTTACAATCTCGTCCCCAGGTCCTCCTCAATATTAGCAATTAAACGTGTGGCCGGTATCACACTCCGCGTGTCAGTGGATACATGGTCATGCGAGACGTACGCGTCCATCGTAGGACTATTTATTACACTAGACAATTTGTTACTTGCGTAAGATTAAACGTGCGTGGATCTTGCACAAAGCTTGTTGCGTATAGTTTGCGTGGAATTTGTGTAAATCTTGAGTAAACCCGCACCTAACGACTCCTCTTAAGATGCTTATCACGCATACTTGACTAATACGGCCAAAATTACGTTTTTAAAGTAAACATTATGAAACATTGCGTGTATTACTTGCGTAAACGATCTCTTTCACGCTCATTCAAGCTGTTTTTTCAATACAAGAGTTTCCATTCAATTCAATTTCAATAATTCAATCCAGAAATCCATCAATTCGCAGTGGGTTTAGATTAACTGATTTCTAACTGTTTCCCTATTGCACATTGGTGAGGTTTTGATGGATTTGGGAGGTTGATATACCGTCCAAGAACAGCACGATGCTAACCGCGTGAAACGCCCGAACTAAAACGACAAAACATGCACGTCGTGAATTATCGGAACCTATTAGTTGCACGCATGTACAACACCAACATTCGACTACGTAGACATCTTTATCCCCCTTCAAATTTACTGCGTTTACAAGTTTTACCAGAGATAAAAAGGATTTCGTAGTTTTGCTCAGCCGAYTGAGTAGTTTGTGGCCAAAATAGTTATTTGTCTCGAAATATAACATATAGAACTAGTTATTATTGCCTTGGGCTATTAATCGAACTAATGTATTCGCACAATGGTGAGATGGAAGATAGGAAAAGTGGAAAGAGAAGAGAAAAGACGCGAGGTGAGAATCACGAAAACTGAGTTTTGAAAAACAAGGAAAAACTAGAAGAAAACTCGCAAAGGTAAATAAGGAAACAGAGAGGTCAAGCGAAAAAAAGAGGAGATTCATAAATTAAAGGATGGAAATGCAAAATGAGAGAAAAAGAATGTGAAAAGCGAAAACAAGATGGAGAAGAGGAAGGAAATTAGAGGGAAAAATGAGCTTAAACGCGACGTCTAGAAGAGAGTTTATGATTATCATCATCATCATCATCATCATCATCATATCAAAATCATTAGACAAATAGCTCTAATTACATGTTGTCGTAATGTGAAGTTTGAGGTGCAATCTTAATTCAAGCTAGCAAGGCTTAACATAATCTTTTTAAAATTGCACATATCTTGCTATAAATAACATTAAAACTCGTGCATTCCATCACGATGAAAAAAGACAATTTTGATTACTTTTGCCTTGACTTTTGTCCCCTTTATATCAATTAAATTACACACATTTTAGCTTGTAATCCGGTGACACGAAAGGTGAAGCTATTACGCATCGAGCTTAATTGGCCGGAAAGGTTCGTGCTAAATTAACGAAATAACATTGGCCTAGCCCCGAAGTCTAGCTATTAGAATCCGATTGGAATGATGCGCTTAGTTTTCACTTAGAAGCTAGCGCACAGCTCAGGATAACAGTACTTACATACTCAAAAACACCATAAACTTTAATGGACTGTAGCTTAAGCTTGTAGGTCAAAAGGGAGCCATTTTAGCAAGCTAACACGAGGATTGACAGGATTACATGGAGTTTAATCAGCCATAATTGACGTAGGAAATGGGTGTGTCAACGAGGAAGCAAAGTAAAAATGTTACTGTAGGCAATGTAGAAGATGAAAAAAGAAGGAAAGAGATGAGGAAAATGGAATGAGAAAAAAAAAAGAAGAGAAAGGAAAAGTGAGAATACTAACAGTAAAATTCAAAACACGAAAAAGAAACAGCACTGAAGAACAGAGGAGCCAATATCAGAGAAAGAGAAATTAAGAAAATGAGAAACAGATGATTAAAAACGGCTACAAATAAACGTGAAAGAGAGCAGAAAACGGATAAAGTGAAATAAGATGAACTTCCTTATTTTCCCAAACAAAGATATGCATCTCAATATGTTTTGTTTGCAATACGGCGAAATTACCAATTAGCAAACACCACCCTTATATCACTTTCCCAAGGCATCTTATTGAGCCGAGTACCATTAGAGCGAACACGAGGAAATCCAATTAATCGCGAACCAAACGAAAAACGTCATTAAACAAAGACATTTTTGATAACAAGAGCTAAAGAAGAAGTTAGTTTGTTTTTAATCTTGATAACGATTGCAATTAGGGAAGAGCCTAGTTGTAACGACTATCGCCTCGGTCAGATTAAAGGATTGACACAAGTGCTAACGAATGACGAAGATAGCCAACGAGCGAGTAACTTTAGCCTTTTAATAGCGCGTCTTTGCCACAGTCATTTTAGCTTAAATTACACTATTAGAACACTTAGCGTTTTATTAAGTCAAATAAAGTATTCTCAAATAATCATTTTAAAAAGATATAGTTATCTGTTGAGATGTTTTCACACTTAAAAACTCAACCACCCACGAAATGGCGGATCTTAAACTCGACGCTTTTTCCAAACCTAAACTCAAGCACTCCTTCTTACCATTGTTTTCGTACTAGAAAAGTTTGTTTACGATGTAATTATGTTTTCTATTGATGCCGCAGGTTATTAACACTTTGTTTTTGATGACTTATTCAGAACAGGTGACGAGAATAACACAACAATTGTCCAAATTGTTAACACAAACTGAGAAAGGCTGTTGGCCAGATGGACTACTTCCAATTCAACTCAAAATTTCTTTCACTTCTAGGCATTGTAGTTAAGGACTATAAAAAGCGTTTATTTGGCGCATTTGCGGTCTCTAATTTTAGCAATACTCGAGACAATAAATAGGACTGTTTATTTTCTTGAAGTATCGCCGAAGAAACTCCTTGACATGAAGCGAAAGTCATACTGTAAACGAAGTGCGTTTCTTCTTGAGTTCCAAATATTTTGTAACTAGTGTATTTTGTTAGCTATCAAGTCTTGAGAAGTTCATAGCCACGTAAAACAAATATTGCGGGTATCTCTAAGTTTCGTCAACTAACAACAATTAGAGTCGACAATTGACAGTACAATTTGTAGCTATTAGAAGCGTCTTTCTCTCATGCATTATTCAATTATCTTTCGATTCTTTTTAGTTCTGAATTTTCAGTACGTTTTTACTATCAAGAAATCTAACAACACAAACTTTCAATAAAAAAACAAATCGATTTGAAAACCAATGATTTGAGAACGTGAGCCGCGCGCCAGAAAATCCTTAATATTATGTATTTGAAATCTGTTTTATTTGACCTTAAAAACGTTGAAACTCAAGTGAATATTCTTAGCACAGAAATACTTCATAAAAGCCACGATTAAATATTTCTTTCTCAAACACGTTATTTGCTTTCTAAACTGTTTAATCATTCTAACACATTTTTCTCTTTTTACTTGGCAGATTTGATGCGTGGTAACAGACCTCGCCTTCCTAATGCTGTTTCACGGATTTATAGCTTAGTCATTCAGCCCGTGAAAAAGACAATAACTTAATATCATTGTTTTAGTATCCACCAAACTATAGGACAAATTTGAAGTAAACAGGAAAAACATTTTTCCTCAACTTTTTTTTTAACTTCATTATTCTCAACTACAACCACAGACATAACAATATAGTATATTTTAATAGCCATTCAGGATGCTGGATTCATGATAAGTTTGGTGGATACTAATGATGCTTTCCATTGAGACAGAACTGATCAGCCAGACTGGTCAATTTAGAAGTAAATCATGCCTTTTATTGATGGATTTTTCAGTAATCTTTCAAGTTTCTAATTTGGATAATATTTAAAAATTGATCAGTTATTCTTAACAAAAAAGACTAATATTGAATCCTCTTAGAGTCTAGCCAGTCAGTTCTGGCAAATGAAAAAACACCCAATTACCACTATCACTCAACTGGTATAGTTATAAGAGGGGTTTCATTTGGAAATAGGAGGCTGTTCTGAAAAAGTAGCGTAATCGTATTTGAATAATAAGGAGCCACAAGCCTTATGACCTTAATTTGACAAAAAATGTTCAACCCAAAGGTCAAAATAGATGCCTGGGCCGGGTTCAAAGCCCAATTAGTGCTAATCCTGGGTTAACTCTTAGAAAACCCATGGAGTTAACCCTGAATTAATGCTAATCAGGCTTTGAATAATCTGGCCCAGAGTTTGCGAGTTTCTGGCTTCTTATGAAATCCCTGTTATAATGAGGTACTGTTTTCTTTGTATTCAATCTCGTTTGTGTACAGTACACATTGTTACTAACATTGTGAAGTGATAGTGATTCACGGAGTCACTGCCTATATAACCTGACAAACCCTCAAGTTGTTAACAACTGACCTTTACATTGGACAAGTTTCCTGGCATGTCTACGCTTCTAAATCTAAATACCTCTGTCTGTCCTATCTGAATGACAGTAAGGATGGGTAGGAAAGCTTTTTTGAATGAATGATCTGTAAAAACAATGAAAAATTGCATTAATAAAGTGAAACTTCATAGACGATTTCTAGATTATAAATCTATGACCAGTTTGAATAAATTAGCAATAAACAAGACAAACAAAAATAATGAATATGAGACATTGCTGAGCACAAAATAAAGAATGTTAACAAACAATAAACCCCACAACGTTGCCCTCATAACAACCATAATCACCATGGCAACTAAGTGTCAGAGTGGTGCATGGATACTATAATCACAGGACTAGGCCTTGCATTTAAGCACGACAGCAGTTGAACTTGTAGCGATACATATCCTTTTGGTATCAAAGTCAATCAAAGCTCAACCTGTTTTGCTTTCATGCAATAGCAAAGCAACCATTTTGGATGCATATGTTTTAAAATAATTTTTACTATATAAAATATTGCAGATATTGACATACCTTATGTTCATTGTAAAAGTAATTTTTTTTAGTATTATAGATCTTCATTATTGATCAAAACCTAAGAAGAAAATGATAAATTATTGAAATTCTGTGTTATAGACTCATGAATGTTTTACTCTGGGCTTCCTGTGTTAGAACAAATGGTGGAGGGAGGGGGTGAAGAACAATAGTTCACATCCCGTTCTCATGAGACAGGAAGCCCAGCTGAGTACAAGGGGTATCTACAGCCTTGAATCATTGGCAAATACAGGTCCTCAGGCAAAGCCATAATCACCATTTTATGTCTGAGTGGTGCATGGATCAAATTCATCATTGGACCTCGAAATAATTAATATGATTTCTCTAAATATAAGACTTAAGCTTAAAAGGTTTTTACCTCATTTATGCCATGAAACAATTATAAGTAAATCACCCTGAAATACAGAAAAAAATCCTTTAGAACTACAAAACATTAAAGAAAGTTGCTATGTACAATTTTCAAGATGCCATCAGGAAAAAATTAGAGTGAATGTTTGAATTTTCATGGGTTTTCAATCTATAGCTTTTCATCATTTGGCATCGTTAAATCACTTCCAAGTGCAATGGAAAATTTCGCTATTTCTCCATAATATACTGAAATCAAAAGTAAACAATGTCTACATTAAAGCCTTTTCTTTCATTATGTAAGCTTTAAATCAAGTAAAAGGACAAAATAGCTAGTTACAAGCAGAAATTTGAAGGTAACAAACTTACACATCACCGCATGGCACCGCCATCTTGAAGAACCACGTGTGGAAATGGTAGTCGAAAATCCTTATGGGTAAATTACAACACAGGTAACCCAAAGTTGTTTCTGATTTCAATCGAGCTGTTTCAATCAATGTGGGCTACTGCTTTTTCGAAAGTCTYAAAACCACTACAACCACAGACGATGGGAAAATGAAAGAATAGATTATCGCTTATTAAAGCAACCCTGAAGTTTATGCTAATTATGAAATAATATTTATGATGAAGATAAAAGGCCTGGCTACCAGCACTGTTTATTCCGCCATCATATGTTGGATGTTGTCACACGATAGTACGTGCATTGATGCATCGATGACCTCAAAGTAGCACATAAAAAGCGACGAAAGATTCAGTTSAAGGACAATGGAAGCCTCCATTGCTTCAGTTACTAGCGATGAAGGTTTGTATTTTATATCAACTCTTWAGAAAAACTTTCCTAAACCCTCGATATGCACAAAGTGTGTGGGAATGTCAAAAACATTTCTTTACTTGGAGATAAGTTACTTCATTCGAAATTTCTTTGTTTTGAATGCAAATTCTTTTGTCTCCATCCATTGTGTTTTGCATCAGCTGTACAGGTCTAGCTAAAAAAGTGAATATCTGCAGGTAAACTTTACTCAGATCTTAAGCCATAATCTATTACTAAATCTTTGTTAAACTTACCAGCAAAAACTATTTTTTAGGTGCCGTATCCAACAAATGTGTTGATTGTGAAAAATCTTTTAAAAGTTGTCATTGTAAGGTAAAACTGTTAACCTACATTAATCCATTATCACCAATTGTAGTGCTTAAATTTATTTTAATTAATATATCATATCTTAATATATCTATTAATTATTTTTAAATCAAGTGCCAATAAAAATATATATTTTTTTATTAATAGTCTTGTTCAAAATGTGGATCCCTGTTCAGAAGGTATTGGGGAACAAACCTAGTTAAAGGAAGGTATGATTTTCTGCAAATTTTATTAAATACAATAGTATTTTACTTTTATGATAATAGATGTTTATAGATGAAAATTAATGGTATTTGTATTCTATAATGACAGGTCCCATTGCCGTCTTTGCCGTGCTGCTGTATGTATGACTTGTCATGTGATCGTGAACAACACATCCAAAGTGAGTTCATTCAACAATGTTGATTTGTGTTAAAGAAGGCTTTTATCATTGCATGCTCACTGATTTTCTAACTTCAGCTATCATTCAAAATAGTACATGAAATGGTATGGAAGACTATTGGATAATTTTATCCTTCCTGATCGCATACAGTTTTCTTGTGTTGTGTTCATATATAATAAAGCAACCATTTTGCTCTTAGTTAGCACAGCTTTCATAATAGTTATTTACCACCTATTATAAGAATTCTAGTACAAGAAAACTATAAATTGTGTRATCGCTAGTGCAATATGCATTTGATTGCTTATAGATTTGTACAAGATGCCATATTAGGCAGAAAGAAGAAGAAATCAGYACSCAAAAGGCATTRGCTGCTATCGATAAAGCAAAAAGTGGTCGATCAGATTCAGCAGCCTCAAACCTGTCCTCTGATTATGTGTTTATCAATGTGGCTGGTGCCTCAACCATGACACCAGACAAGAAGAAAGAATCTCTTTTTGAATCTGCTAAAAAAGGTGCAATAATTTGTTACTACCAATAATATTTCAAAGAAGACCCATGATTGACAGCTCAGAAAAAAAAACATGATTGACAGCTCAGAAAAAAACCCCATCTGGTTGAAGTTACAGCTCATTGACAATATTTTGATACCTCTTTCATGATAGTTTGTGCTTTTATTTTGACAGGTGATCACTATGCCTTGGTTACATTATTAAATGCGAGTGCTGATCCTAATGCTAAAGGTAAAAAAGAACTCTACACTTCACTCCACTGGTGCAATCTAAAAGAAGATTTCGAAAACTAATGATAACTAGTGTTATTACTGGTTTGAGCTCCATTTTTTAATGTCCTTTTAATGTCCTTTAACTTTTTTTAAAAATCAAAATGTAACTTTGCCTGTCAGATTCCAGCAGGAATACACCGTTGTTTTATGCAGCGGAAGGTGGCCATCTTCCTTGTGTGGCGTTGCTGATGGTAAGGATACAAACAAACAAACAATACCAGCTAAAATTATATGACACAAATTACTAACTAGTACTCTTGTACAGTCAAGAATTCAAACCTGTAATGTGACAATGAATGAACAGACAGTATTTTTGTAGTTAATCTCAATTGTTTATATTTCATGCAGGAAAGGGGAGCTAACATCACTTTGGTCAATGATGTAAGTAATCTTTTTTGTTTTTGTTTTTTTTTTTGATGTGAGTAATCATAATATGTAATTGTTTTTTTTCTTTGGTGAAGTTTTTTTCTTTTTTAAGGGATTAAATTTTTAAAAACTAATCGGATAATGAATGCAATACAATGTTAAATATACTGAAAATCAGCTACATTTGTTCTACCAGGCATCTTGGACGCCACTACATGCAGTTGCTTGGTAAGCAGCAATGTAAAGTATTTGTTTGCCTATAATTKTTTGTCTTAAGTRCAGATATTTTTAACATTTCTTTTCACAATTGTAGGAAGGGTTCAACAGATGACCATGTTGAATGTGCAGAACTTCTCATCCAGGTTTAGTGCACTAGAAATTTTATCAACACCTTGTTGTGTATGGAATTGCAGGGATGTGTACAGGAATGCAGCTTCATGTAGATGTTAAAACAATGGATTTAAACAAACAGGAGCAAAAGTCAATGTCACGCACTATGATCTACCATGGCATTGCTGCAGGAGAGGACTTGGATTTTCCTGCAGACATCCCACTTTTCCAGTTTTTGATAACATTTGARTTCCCTGTTGCACCGTCCTAGCACAGGAAGCCCATTACTTAAGGAGGTTAAGAATCCTGGACCTACTGAGGTAGATAATTTGTATGTTTTTGCAGATGGGTGCAGATGTTTTTGCTTTAACCAGTACTTCAGAAACTGCAGCAGATTTAGCAGAAAGATGTGGCGGTAAACTAGACTTGGTTCAGCTTCTGAGAGCTGCTGAAGGTGATTRATGATGCAATGATTTGACAACATTCTGGTAAATTATAAAAATACTTACATAATTCTCTCTCCCAAATCTTTTCCATTAGTTGATGCTGCTGTTAAACATCTTAAGAAAAGATTAAAAAATGTATCAGGTGAATGTCTTCTATTTGAATCAAGATGCTGAATCATTTTAAACTAAATGGCCTTAAATTTGTGCTATCAATATTGACAGCTAAAGACCACCTTGTGAAGTTGTACATTGAAGCTCTTATTAGACACATAACTAAAGAATATGACAGCAGCTGGCTTGATTCAGGTATAATATTTTTCTTTTCTATTTAAGATTGTACATCTTTCTGTTTTATCTCTACTCCGTGTGYCAGTCATTCATCTTGTTATTCATTTCATCCATATCTGATTCTATCGAACTAGATGATGACAGTTCTACATCCAGCGCCACACACAGTCCCGCTCTTCCTCGGGCAGACAAGCCAGGAGGTGAAGGTAGCACAGGCAAACAAACCCCTGAGAGACAAAGAAAACAAAATACATTAGATAGAGTGAGTTGATATTATATTCCCAAGGTTATCGATAATCATATAATTTTGAAAAAAAAAACTCCCTGACTGGTGCTTGTGTAAA